GGCCGCAGGAGACGATCCATGGAGTCTGGAGTATCCTGTCTGGAGCAATAGACCGATGGGAGCTGCACTCTGCTCAGTCATCAAAGGCTCAGAAACAGAGGACTTAGCAGCAATGGGATCGATGGGGTTATTTAGACCACACAAGACTTGGAAGCCATGGACGAGGGCCCGAAGAATAGATTTGTTTTCATCGAGAAGAATGGGTAAAACTTTGAATGACTCAAGGTGACCAGGACAGGCGAGAGAGAGCTCGTTGAGCCAATCTGTGGGGAAACAATCAGGAGATCTAGTAGTATGGATGATCAGAGCCGGTATTTCCGGGGAGGATGACAAGAAGGAACGTTGATCGTGCCCGGAGAGAGCAGTGAGATCGCTGAAGGTGATTTCAAGCCAAGAGGTCTGGTACATCAAGTCACCGGTGTAGTTGTAGTTGTTGTTGACAGAACCCAAAGAGTAGACTGAATCGGATAGGGCGCGAGAGACTGCTTGTCGAAAGCGAGAATGACTTGGCCATTTCCAGTCAATAGCGCCTTGGGATGGTGCCAAAGTAGGGTTAGGTGCCAAGAAGTCGAACTGGCTGAAGTTCATGCGAAGGTTGGATAAGATTTCGATAGATTGGGAGTGGGAGATCTGATGGCCGCAAAGAAAGACGTGCAATCGGTGCGAAAGATCGGAGCCAGCAGCTGTATGGAATAGCGGTGAGGTTGGTGATGAGAACGACGTATGAGTTTGTAGATCGGCATCGGTCAAGGATGGTGAACGAGAGGACTTGAAATCCAGCTGGTCGCTTGTGAGGCTAGTATGATGGTCTGAATGTGGAGACGAGGAGGCCAGCTCGGAGGCCCTGTTTGGTGATCGTTCCAACCAATCAGAATCGTATCTGGAATGAAAAAAAAACAAGTCAGTTGAGCCAAGCAGAAGGATAGGTAGATGAGTGAGATAAGAATGATGGTAGACTTACTGATCTGAGCGAGTGCTGGGGATGATTTGATCGGTTGAATTGAGAGGGTCGGGGAATGAAAAGAGGCTGGTGATCGAAGCATCGGTGTCATCGGAGTTGACACAGGATAGATCGAGATGAAGGTTTGGTTGATTGGTAGGGGATGATGGTTGGAGATGGTGGTTGAGCTTGAGGTCGAGGGTGGTGGTGAGGATCTGAGCACGTTGATGGGAGAGAAGAGTGTTGTTGTCGGATGGTTGCTGTTGATGATGGTGATGGCTGCCAGTGTCTGAGTCGAAATCAGCGGCTAGACTGTCAGGGGTCGAGACATTCTGGAAGGGGTCATCGAGGTCAGTAGTCGAATCGATCTCATCCGAGCAATCCTCTTGCTGGTCCGCTTGGTGGTGATTGTAGACTTGGATGTAATCTGATGAGCCCAGTGGGTCATGTTCGGTTAGAGGGGATGGGGATGGTGATGACGGTGATGGATCGATTGGATGATAAGCCTGTCAGGTTCAGACGCATCCTGGAGTGCTTCTTCTGTCAAATCCGATGGTTTAGTTATAATTAGATTGATGGAGGAAAGTTGTGATGGTTGCTGACCTGTTTTCCTTTGATGTTTTCTTGCTCTTGATGGTTTGGTTTGTAGTTGGTTGTTTGCAGTTCTTGTTGTTGTTGGCTGCTGGGAAGAATTCAAGAGGGACTCAACAACTCCTTCACAGCAAACAACCACTTATGTACCCAGACAACCATGAGATGAACCCTTAAAAAGGAAAAAAAAAGAAACACCAACCAAATTGATCATCATACTCAAGTAGCCTTATCAAAGAACAGCCTATGTATGTATCATGATTCACATTTCTGAACATCAAAACAATCTTAAAAACACAGATTTAGGAAAGAGATACCCCAATGTGGATACTCAAAAAAAGAATTGGGATCAAGAGTCATCAACATAAACATCAGAATCAGAACAATCATAAAGGTCGAAGCTCCAATATAAGTTTTTTAGGGGTCGCTGTAATTTTACAAACTATATTTTACAAGACATATGTCTTGTAAATCAGATGGTTTGTAAAATTACATTTTTGTGGGGGTAATGTATAATTTTACAAACCATCACCAAAAAATATGGGTTGCAAAAAAAAGGGTTGCAAAATATGTGCCTTAAAATTGCAAGCCATGCCCCATGGAGTAGAATTTTAAGGCACATATGTTGCAACCCTTATGTCTTGCAAACAATATGATTTGCAAAAGTACATTTTTGCCTTATTTCAAGGAATTTTGCAACCATTAGTTTGCAACCCATCTATGAGTTGTAAATTATGTTTTGCAAAATTGCACAACAAGGTATGTAAAATTGAATTTTACAAACCATATTTTGCAACCTTTTTGCCTTCCTTCAAGGAAATTTGCAACCATTAGTGTGCAACCCTTAAATGAGTTGTGATTTATGTGTTGCAAAATTGTAACAGATAGTATGTAAAATTGAATTTTGCAAACATTGTTTTGCAACCTCAAAAAAATCAAAAATGAAAGACACAGCCTCCACAAAAATAAACACCAAAATCGAAGGAAATCAAAAAAAAAGAGAGACACAGCCTCAAAAAATAAAAAAGGAAATCAAAGGAAAAAAGAGAAAGACAGCCTCAACAAAAACAAAAGGGGAAAAACGAGAAAGACACAGCCTCCACAAAAACAAAAAGGAATTCAAAAAAAAGGAGAAAGACACAGCCTGAACAAAAATAAAAATAAAATCAAAAAGAAAAGAAAAGAAAAAAAGACACCGCCGTAAAAAGAATAAAAGGAAGAGTGAAGTTCCAACAGTCCTGCAGAATAAAACATAGAACACAATCATTTCAATTTCATAGATGTTGCGGGTGATTTTTCTCTGGCCTGGAGTTTAGCTGTAGTTGGAGGAGTTGATTTATCTTTGTCTTTGGCCTTGTGGGGAATCAAATTCAAACTGTTTTATTTGGTCAAGATTGACTTCATCTCCTTGAAAGGGATGTTTCCAGATGTACCTGGAATTTCTTCAACTATCTTCTGAATCTCCTTCTCAACATACTCTTACTCCCAAGGTGTTCAATTGCGCAAACAAAGGAGCCAGCCCATGTTTTCTTTGACACTGGTGATAGAACTGGGAGGCCAATTAATCTGTTGAGCATTGACCAGGGTGGCCCTTGACCTGAGCTGGAGGGGGGTACATAAAGTAGGCTGAAACTTCCAGAAAATAAAAAATGTCACAGGTTTGCAAAAAGGTCAGACAAGTCACAAGGGTTTCACAGATTTAAAAATCCGTGACATATTATGTTAATAGTATACCCTCCCAAAAGTTTGAGAAAACAAGGTTTCACAGTGTGGGAGATTTGGGACATGTCACACGGATTTCACAGCTTTGAAAATCTGTGACAGATAATGGTAATAGTTTACCTTTTCTCAAAAATTTCAGAAAACAAGGTTTCATGTTGGAAGCTTGATCTTGGCGACTGTGGGAGATTCAATTGAAATCTTTTTGCATGGTGAGAGTTTAACCTTGTTTGGTGGGTAGATTGTAACTTATGTGTTGTAAAATTCTATTACAGGGTATTAATAAGGTTTTTTACATACTTAGTTTCACAAGACATTATGGTTTGCAAGCAAATGTCATGTAAAATTCTAAATTTAAGGTTTGTTATACAACTTTACAACCTTGTCATGCAAGACTTGCATGATATAGTTTGTAAAATTACATAATCCAATGTTGTGATACAATTTTAACAAACATATTTTACAAACCATTTTTTTACAACCTTTGAAAATCACAGATGGGTTGTAAAATTATACATTACCCCCATAAAAATGTAATTTTACAAACTGTCTGGTTTACAAGACATATGTCTTGTAAAAAATAGTTTGTAAAATTCACTTACCCCGTTTTTTAAAATGTTTCTGTGAAAAATGGAAGCTGGAATTAATTGAACTCTTGCATCAGAGATAATCCAATTGGAGAAACTGGGATGATATTCTTTCAAGATGAGGTTGGATCATGTGCAGATCTTCATGGGACACTCATCATTTTGGGTGAATCTGATTGAATATCTTTGGAGAAAAAAAAATCAAATATCACTTTTTGTTCTATCGTCCTGCCCAGGTGGTCATCTTGCGGTTTTTCTCTTGATGGAAATCAGCCAGCTTTGATAGTTCTTGTGTATCTTTGTTGAACCACTATCTGATCATGTCCAGATCTGCTTCATGTTTCAGGCTTTGAAAAATATGGGGGATGAAACATATACTATTGGATTTTAAAGCAAAAAGTTAATCAGTTGAACAAACCCAAATCAATTTGTCAAACATACCCAGTGGTCCTCTACAAAATCATTCATGGATATTGAGAGGTAGTGGGGGGGGCATTCAATCTTGGTATCCACAACTTTGAGGGCTTACTGCTCCAATTTGAATGGCTATCTAAAAAGGTAAACCAATGATGAATAGCCCATAAATTTGAGTTTTCCTCAAATTATTGCAAGTATCAAATATAAGAAAATTGAAATGAGAAAGAGAGAAAGAGAATCTAATGAAATAACCTTGCTATCAGAGGTTCTTGTAGATTGTATGATTGATTATAGACTACCAAGTTTAATGGCTATCAGCCGTGAGCAGGGAAGTGCTTCAGTGATAATTCTTAACCTGGGATAATTATTCACAATGTTAGAGTCAAGCTATGTATGTACTTAGACAAATGATGATGAATTGACTGTGTGTCTTGGGTTTATAATTGCAGAATATAGAGGGGTGAGGTTCATGATTGAAAAGCCAATTTTAAGGCCTTTATCAACAAGATTTTGAAAGTTTTATGTATTGGATGGATTTGAGGGTTTCTGAACAATCCACACAACTTTGCAAACTCAAAACAAATTATTGATAAACACCTTGAAATGGGCTTTAGAATTTGATAAATTTCAATCATGAACCCTTCTAGTGGATTTTGAAACAGATGGGGAGAATGTGAGCTTACATATAAAAGGTTTGAGGTTACAAAAAAAAGAGTTACAATTATGCGATTATGAAAATGTTACAAGTAATGTTAGAAGCTGATTGAATATGGTCCAATTTCAAAGGGGAAATTGTAAGAAAGACAACTAGACAGGACTGTGACAGGTCACAGGAAAACAAAAATGTGAGACAAAGAGAACTAAGAATGGAATAAAAGGATGAACTAAGATAAGATTACATTCAGCTGTGCTATTTTCTAATGGCCCAAATTTGACCTTTCTATAACAGATCTGTTTTTTTTTGTAGTGATCTAGATCACCATGATTAATGACCCAGTCAAATTCTTTATTAATTGATTTGGATTGCTGGTGGAATCCTTGGCTGAGTTTTTGCTCAAGACGATTCCTAATCTAATGTCTAATCTTTGGAACTGAACAAAGAGAAATCTGATGAAAATACTATCAGGTTTACCTTAGGCTTAATTGATCATCAATGGAAGCCAGATGCTTTCAAGTAAGCTTATCTGATAACCTCATTCAACTCAATAACCTATTTGCCATTCTCAAATGTTTGGAACATTGACTATGTATAGTTATCTACTGAACCATCTGCATCTTGATTGCTTGGGAATGACCAGCTTGTTCAAAAAAATTCACACTGAAGGATCTAACTCAAGAAATGGAAGTATATATTTAATAGGAAGATTTGAAAAATGCAAGTTCTTTGAAAATAAAAACCCATCATCCTTTACTTTCAACCAAATCCGGCCTTTGAGGGGAGTGTTCTAAGCCGGCCCCACTGTTGTTGAACTTGGTACCCCATTTGATGATGAACGATTAATGAGCTTGCCTACAGGATCTTGGTTCCATAATCATTTTGTACCGATTTGTATCCTCTGATCGTTGGCTGCTGGACCCCGCTCCTGAGAATTACCTGATGTCCGTCTTCGCCGGAGACCCCAATGAGATCAATGATCAGTCTATAGTCTTGTTTTTAGTAGGAGGGGCCGAGCCGGCTCGTATATCTGATGGGGAGGCCACTCCGGGGTTGGCACTCTTGGTAAATCGTTCTCCATGTCTGCAAAAGCTGGCCTTCAACGGAGATGGTGAGCGGTCCAATGAGTTTTTACCTGATTGATTCTTTTTTTTTTCGGTCAAATTAATTATGGTTCGGTTTAAGGTTTCAACTGAATCTCAATTGAGTTGTCAGTGTATGTAGCAGCTACAATGTAAGGTTATGGGATATCGACTTATGCGCATACTATTCCCCCTTGTATGTACATACTTACTCTCTCCAGTTCTTTCACGCTCAAGTTTCAACTCTTGAGTCTCCACCACCCCCGACCTCATCTTCCGACTAATTGGCCGTCTACCTCCACTCGATTTAACATCAACCAACTAACCAACCACCCAATCAGTATCCACACTCACTTCGAGCACAATGGGAACAGACACTGAACTAATCGAACCTTATGGCAAGCCTCTCCTTCCTCTTATCTACTCCACGCCTCGGCTATTTACTGATGATCATCAAAAAATAACTCAACCCAACAGACTTCCTACTCAAGCTTATCAGTCAGTATCAACTTTTTCATCTGTTTATTCAATCCGACCTTAAATCAAAACACAGACATCTAACCCATCTGAAATGACTTACGGAAATCGGTTCGATGATCCTCGACTCGTTCAGTCATTGGCGAATCCGGGACCGGAAAATCATGTCTCCTCCACCACTTCCTACGCTCCCAACCACGCCATCCCTCACCACACACGATTGGAGTCGAGTTCTCATCAACGATCATCAGTCTACCATCTGCGAGCTCGCTTGGCTCATCCTTCTGTAGGATGAAGCTCCAGATCTGGGATACCGCCGGCCAGGAACGATTCAGAAGTGTGACGAGAAACTACTATCGCGGTGCGGCTGGTGCGATCTTGGTCTACGATATCACTGAGTCAGTCGTCTTAATTTGCCCGATGAACCCTTGAGCTCTTATTCGTGCACTAAATAACCAAACTTGAATTTCCCTTCTCTCTCTCTAAACTCTTACCCAACTCACAGTCGAGCATCCTTCACAAGCTTATCCTCCTGGCTAGCCGATGCAAGATCACTAGCATCCCCAGATCTGATCGTCATCCTGGTCGGGAATAAGGTGGACTTGGAAGAAGATCTGCGACAGGTGGATGAATTAGAAGCCAGTAACTGGGCCAAACAACACGACTGTCTCTTCCTCGAAACCTCATCCTGGACCGGCGAATCGGTCTCGACGCCATTCCTACTCCTGACTCGTTCGATTCTACTGTCTATCGAATCCGGTCGGATCGATCCTAATCGGAAAGGAAGTGGGATTAGTTATGGGGAACGGGCCTTGAAAAGAGTGGCCAGCTGGAGTGGAGGGAGTGATGGTGGCTTTGAGATTGATACGAGTGATCGCAAGAAGAGCAAGTCCAAGTGTTGTTAACAGTCACCAGTCTTCGACTCCTCTCTCTTTTCTTCTCCCTACCCTCCTGGTATCGGACGTTTTTCTTCCAAACCGTCTTTGTTTGATGTATCTATTACTTTTGGGATATTGGAGTCTGTGGGATTTCTACCTCTTCTATAGATCGATCCATTCCGCTTCCTTGCGGTAGTTTTTTTTTATATAATCATTTCCTTATTGTATACCCCAATCTCGTTTCAAGATCGATCTGGTTTCCCTTTATCTCCTCATTCTCGTTTTTTTTTTCTTCTAATATTAGTGCTACACATGTGATCATTTCCTTGTCAAATGATCCAATTTGATTCTCCGTATTCCATTTTAACAATCTACCGCCCTTCCCCTCCAGAAACCAAAAAAAAAATATGCACACTCCAAACATCTTCTTGTCATCCTTTCCTCTCAACACCCCGTCCATCCTCACACAGATACCGAATATCGTTATTATTCAATTAGCTAGCTCCTTCTTGTAAAGTTTTTCTCTCTTTCTTTTCAGTTCTGCAGTTTTGTTTGAGTATCAGTACTTGAGTTTGATATCTATCCATCTATCAAATTGACCACAATAGTTGCTAGTATATTTGTAAACATTTTCCTCTCTCCAAAGTTATACACCATTTGCTTGATTTCCACTATCATATGCACACCAAGCTCTTTCCAATTAACCACACATGGATTAGACGTCTTTTACGGCTACACTCAGAGTAAAGCAGCTTGACTAGACTTACATAGTATGTGCTCGTAGTCAATAATATAGCTTTCTCTTGACTGCACTTCAACAAGACTTCCTTTTTTGATTTTTTTTGGAACAGAGGATAATCTTCAAGTTGGAAATGTAGATATATTGGGCGTACCCTAACCCGGCTTCTCACCTGCAAACAAGTTATAAGTTTTTGCAAGTGAAGAGAAATTATATTTGATTGGCTTATCTTCAGGACAAGAGTTTATCGGAGTTGGAGTACAGGCTTGACTGTTTGCTTATTGGTCCGGCGAAACTCTTGAATGGAATTTATAACAGCCAATCTCAGCTGATGCAGTAGGTGACAATGAGAACGACCAGTTTCTCACCTTCTGATTCGTATGTATTGAACATGTGGTCATTAGGGATGAGCTGATTTGAGTGTGTATGTAGATGGAAGAAGGACAGCAGTTATGCTTCTCCGCCTGAGGGGCTTGTAAAGAATTGATCTCGAGGGAGATCGATGGATGGGGAGTGAGAGTGAGTGAGAGTGAGTGAGAGTCAGAGAGGAGGAGGAGACAGCCAAGATGGTGATAGTCGGTGGTAACTGTGGTTGATGAGATGAGTGGTGTTGTGGGTAAGTAGGGCTCAGCCGGCCATGTCAAGCCAAGGGGGTGAAAACAGATGATGTCATCATGAACATTACACAGCCCAGTCGATTCGAAAACAATTTAAATACAGCAGCGCCCTTCATCAAACACCCCCCTCCCACCCATCCAACTACTAAAAAAACCACTCAAGATGACTCAACCAACAACAACAGCAACAACAACAACAGTACCATTCAACAAAACCAAAACCATAATCACAACAACAACAACAACAACAACACCGAAACCAACAACATCAACATCAACACCAAACGGTCAACAAGAACAACAACAACAAGAACAAGAACATCCATCCTCACTAACACCACTCAGGGCTCACTACCTCAAACGAGAACTAGTCACTCTCCAATTTGCTGCCGAACTAGAGAGCCTATCATCTCCCCATGTACTCTCAATACTCGGACCACCATTCCTACCAAGCCACCTCTTCAAGGATGGCATACCAACCATCTCCGAATCATCAGCAAGCTCATCATCACTATCACCATCACCATCATCATCATCATCATCACCCTCAAAATCACCAGCAAACCATCAACACCATCTCAATCAACTCCAACAACGTGATCTAACTCAAAACACCGACCTACCCTTCCTAAGGTTCTTCTTCCACAAATTCGTACTCTCATTCCCATTCCTACAGAACGTACCACCCACCTTCTTCTCTCACAAACTACAACCATTCGTCTACTCCTTCTTCTCTCGCAACATCACTCGAACAGATGATCGCGAGGAGGAAACCAAACGCCAGAAGATCGCCGGCAAGGTCGAGAAACATCTAGCACTCATCATGGCTGCTGCCATCAAACTATCCGACAATCGAGGTCAAGAACAAGTCGTCAGAGTCTCACCTAATATCGACCCCACTCCAAACGATGATGATGCATTCGTCTCAACTCCCATCATCCCACCACCTCAGGACAGTCAACTACCCAACATCCCATCCCTAACCATTAATCAAGATCAACAACCACATCAACACCCACTCGTCAACATCTCCTTCGATCTCAACGTCGTTGCCATCCGCAAAGTCCGTGTCAAATCTCGCATGAGGTCTAAGGTTCATGAGGAGTTTGTCATCAGAACTAGGAGCCAATCCACTGGTGAAATCTACGTCAGTAGAAGATACCGGGATTTCTTCAAATTGGCAGAATCTGTAAGCTTCACAATTAATTCCTTTCCTTTCTTTTTTCAGAATGCCACAGCAAACATCTAACACGCGTTTAATTCGATGATTAGTTGAGGGTCGAATTCCCAGATATCGATATCCGATCACCCCCACCAAAGGATCGATCAGCAATTCATACTGATGATGTGGCTTCACCCACACTCAACAACAACTCATCACCCACCCTCGGTGGCTCGACCGAAGATTCACACCATCCAACCAAGATTCATTTCATTCGAGAACACAACCGACTGACCCTACGTGCTTACCTTCACCGACTCTTAACCAAGCAAGAGATCTCAAATTCAGAGCAGTTCTATAAGTTCTTGACCGACGAACCGATCGAATTGAGCCAGGAGGAGAAACACGACGCTGAGAATCGAGAGGCAATCGATCGGGCACGTGAAAATGAGAAGAATCGGTTCAGATTAGAGGTCGAAGGCCGAGTGAAAGAATTGGATGATTATCTGCGCAAGTTCCGCGAGGAACTCGTCAAGAGTGATGGGCTTTCCAGGGTCTTTGCTACCATCAGAGAAGTCGACACGATCTCAAAGTTACCCATCGAATATCGTAAAGTGATTGAATGGTCCAGAATCTCGTTTGTCTCCCCCCTAAAGAAAACAACAGACCATTGTTTTTTTTCATCTCCTTCCATTTCTTTTTCTCTCCCTCTTGAGATTCCCAGAGAAGCTAATTCTCTCTTGATTTCTCTTCTGTAGAATGGCTTCCACAATTTATCAAATTTTCCTTGGTTCAGATAACTCATCTGCCTCATTTGCTCAACTGAAACGGATGCATGCACTCCTACCCTACTGGGCCATGCGTTAGTAACCTGATGATTTCTATTTGCTTAGAATGTTATTTTTGACTCGTCTTTTTTTTATCTTGATGATCCAGGCGGAGTGCTCAAAATCTCAAACCCCGTGGCCATGATTCGAGGCGTGTTGGACTTGTTCTTGGCCAGGCCTTTTGGAGCTACGAGTCTGGTTCAAAGGATGTTTTCATCGTCAGTTGATTGTCTATACTATAAATTTTGAGCATTGAACTGATCTAGGAGATTGTACATCTATTGGTCACATGCACAAAACAGAGGGTTGTATGAGGAGATTCGGGAGTTCAAAGAAGATGCCGAGAAGGTCGCATCGAAAATTGCAGACGATAGGATGTGTGAACGGATCAAGACGTTCGTTGAAGCACCTCGAGAGATCCAAGAAATTTTCGAGTCTGATGCCAGTGAGTAATAGCATCCCCCACTGATTCTTCTCCATGCTTACTTACTCACTCATGATCTCTCGGTTCTTCTTCGATTCTTTAGAAAGTGAAAATGTTGACCTGATTGCGGTCATCTTGAGATCTCCTGAGGGTCCTAAGCTTGACAAAGCAGCTTACCAACGCATCCAACGGGCTTCTCAGGCGTATGAAAAATATAAGGCCTACCGAGACGGACTGGATGATCCAACGTTGGATGAAGGCCCTGATAATGATGATGCCTGGCTGTTTGAGGATCTGCATGTCTACATGAAGTTGCTCAGAAGGTGTAGAGATAAAGAGCAGCTGGTCGAGCTCATCTTTGAGGTCAGTTTTTACTCCCCATCATTTTTCTTCCTCGCCTTAACATTTAAACAATATTTCTTATCTTTTTGTGGGGTGTGAATTATTTTCAGGGAACTACTTCCGAACTCTTGAAAGATATCGTGACTATCTTTTATGCACCCTTGATGCAAGTTTACAAGGCTGCCAATATTTCGGACTCGTTGGTCGATCTGCAAAAATTCATTGATGATCTCATCCGAACCGTAGAGCGTGCTGATGAGGGTGAGAAGATCTACTTCCTCTTTTTTGTTTAATCACCTTATCTTTTTTCTCACTATCAATGGTTTTTTTGTCCAGTTGCTGTGCGAGACGCGCAGAAGATTGTCCAGACGTTTGTTGATCTGGTCGCACGGCATGAAGGAGCGTTCTACAACTTTGTCCATCAAGTTCATTCAAAGGGAGCCGGATTATTTGATGGCTTGATGCACTGGATCGAGCTATTGGTGAACTTTGTCCGACAAGGATTGACAAACACGATTTCCTTAGAGGCGCTCCTACCGCACCCAGACACGATGGAAAGATTAGCATTGATGAATGAGATCGACGAGATCATCGAGTACCATCGCAAGTTGAAGATCGCCCACCACGAGCGGATGATGAGACGGCTGGCCAGAGACGGGCCGGAGGAGCGCTACGACCGGGAGAAGGATACGGCATTCGTCAGTGGGGTGATGCAGAACTTGAACCTTAGCGATGGGGTAGTCAAGGATGTGGAGGAAGCAGCAAACGAGGATCTGGATGACTCGGATCAGGAGGAGGAGGACGATCCAGGGCGGATGTCGACCTGCTCCAGTGCCAGTCGAGCGCCCGACGAAAATCCCACCACTACCCATCGTAAACTCAATCATCATCAGCGTCGAAATGGGAGTCCTGCTCACAAGTCTAATAAGAACAAGGATATAGAACCGCCTAATCTGGTCATCGTACCAACCCTAACTCCCCTGTTCACTGAGCTAGTCAAAAACCTCTTGCATTAGAACAGTTGACAGTTTTTACCTTTCATCCAATTTGTTTTTCTCTTATGTTGGAGAACATTCTGTGAAAAAGGACGGGTTTTTTTTAAAAAAACAATTAGCTACACTTTTAATGTGTTTGATTTTTCTCTTTAGACTTGATATAGGTCAACATTTCACTTATGTACACATTTTGTGTTCAACTTGTACATTTGTACAGATAATCTTCATCCTTTTCTTTCTAGATCTGAGCCCCCCCCTTTTTTTTCTTTCCAACCGATGTAGATGACTTGTTGCATTTGGAAGAGAGGTGATTCATATGTGATTGTAACCTCCTTGTTTGAATGGTGTTTCTTTTGGAACACCTTTGTCTTTTTTTTGATGGCTCTTTCCTTTTTGTGTTTGATTTGTATCATATTCTTTTTTTCAGCTTGGATGGGTTGGTGCACATACACACATACTTGAAATAATGGGGAAAAAAATGTTACATTTTTTTTGATGTTTTTCCTACTTTTGCTTTCATTTGGATTCAATACAATTGAAATGTGAGTATGTGCCTATGAAAAAAAAAAAACTCTCAAAAGAATATTGCTAAGTTTTGGTGTTGAAAAATTAAAGTGATTTTGGAGAAGAGAACAATGAATCTTGTTGTAACAGCCTATAAGCTTCAAGAGATGTCAAAATTATGCATGTAGTCAAATTTTTTTGGGCAATAAAAAGAGGGGCTTGGTTAAACGACTCCCAAAAAGTGGAGAGCCAACTCCCAAGCCCCGGAATCCCCGACTTTTGGGAGTCGAACCCCCAAAACCTTTGACTGGTTTGGGAGTCGATTCTCCCAAAAAAAATATTAAAAAAATATTAATCCCCCGGTTGGTTTAGGAGTCAATCCTCCAAAACCAACCAGGGTTTGGGGGTCGATGAAACAAAAGACCCCCACAGAAGCGGCCGGGAGGATTCTTCCTGGCCGCTCAGATTCCACACCAATGGCCGAGAGGAATCTTCTTGGCCGTCAAGATTCTGCTCTCAGCGGCCGAGGTGATTTCCCTCGGCCGTCGGGAGTGTACACCTCGGTCGTCGAGAGTGTACACTCCTGATGGCCGAGAGGATTCCTCGGCCGTTGGGGGTATACACTCTCAAAGGACCAAGGGAAACCACCTCGGCCGTCAAGAGCGTAAACTCTCGATGGCCGGGAGTGTACACAGCCGTCGAGAGGGTGTACACCTCAGCGGTCGAGGTAGTTTCCCTCAGCCGTTGAGAGTGTATACCCTCAACGGCCGAGAGGAATCCTCTCGGCCATCGAGAGAGTGTACACTCTTGACGGCTGAGAGGTACTCTCTCGGCCGTTGAGATTGTACTCTCAGCGGCCGACATGCAGCAAAAGTCGTCACTCCCCACCCTATTGGTCTCTCCATCCCAGACGCCCAAGATACTTACCCGGACAACTAGTAACTCGACAACCTCCTCCTTTCACTCCTCTCAAAGCAGCGCACCATCCACGGCCCATCCGATGAACTTCCCAAGCCATCCGCCCATCCTGGGCAAGGTGGGTACGACGTGGAAGCTGGTCCTAGCGAAGTGGCGGGAGAGGAACCTTCTACGCAACTACTACGGTCTCGGGAACGCAAGCGAGGCCGCCAATCCATCCGGACCGGAAGAACCGGGTCTTGCACATGGAATCTCGATGGCCGAGAGGCCATCAGTGTGTAATCTGAGCGGCCAGGAGGAATCCTCCCGGCCGCTTCTGTGGGGGTCTTTTGTTTCATTGACCCCCAAACCCTGGTTGGTTTTGGAGGATCAACTCCTAAACCAACCGGGGGATTAATATTTTTTTAATATTTTTTTTGGGAGCATCGACTCACAAACCAGTCAAAGGTTTTGGGGGTTTGACTCCCAAAAGTCGGGGATTCCGGGGCTTGGGAGTCGGCTCTCCACTTTTTGGGAGTCGTTTAACCAAGCCCCTAAAAATATTCATTCAATCTGATCTACATACATGGACAAAAATGGGTTATGTGCTGTGTGCCATATATATAGACTATCTCACAAGTCAGGACTCATATACAAGAGTTCAAATTGGCAGCCAAGCAGTCAATGTCTTGTGCATTGTTTTTGTTGACCCTTGAAGAAAAAAAAAAGAGATTTCATAGATCAAGAAGAAAAGGAAAGGAAAAAAAAGGAAACTGGGAATGGAGGACTTGATTCAATCTGATCTACATACACAAAAATGTGTTGTGTGCTGTGTGCTGTATATATCAACTATCTCACAAGTCAGGACTCATACAAGAGTCAAGTGTTGTGTGCTGGGGTGGCAGCCAAGCAGTCAATGCCATGCACATTTTTTTTTTGACCCTTGAAAAAAAAAAAAAAAAAGAAAACGAGAAAGATAAGAAAGAAAAAACTCCAAATCTAGATTTGTGTAATCTTTGTTTCATAGAAGAAGAGAAGGAAAGGAAAAAAGAAACCGGGATTGGAGGTCTTTTCTGGCCGATTTTACAAGCTCTGTAAAGCAATTTCTGCAGGCTGTTGAGCTAAATCTTTGATGGGAAAACAGCTTTACAGCCTGTGAAAGTAGTGGGGGATGTGAAACCAAAGGGAAGTCCAACAATATAAGCATCAACACAAACTTTTTGAACATATAAAGATAAATATATATATATAATTAGATGTGTGACACTCAATTTGACAGTATGTGAATGACATAGCTGATTTTTGGTGTTGTCTGCAAGTGGTAGAGTTCTGGTTTTGTAGAACAGGGAGTGTGCTAGAATCCAAGTGGTGACAGAAATTGTGGAGATTGCTCATGTTTGTTATCTGGGGGGATGAAGTCTCCTGATATGAGATCCGAAATGGTTGAATCAATCTTCCTTGATGTGAGAATTCATATATTGTTTAATAAAAAGAAGGAAACCAAAGCAGAACAGAATAGGATAAGAAACCAATGAAGAATTAGAAGAAGTTTGATGATTATTGTTGAGTTTCTTTTGGGTCTTTATTATCAAAAACCATGAAATTGCCCAACTCACAACTTGATACAAATCAATTCTGGATATAAAGAATATTGAGATGTGCAGGATTACTAAATAGCCATACATATATATATATGTTGGGAGAAGCCAAAACAAGTACATTAGAGGTAGAGGATGTGCAAGCAAGAATTAAGATTTTCAAGTACTGAAACTATTTGAATATCTGACAAGCATTATCTCCCCATCCCCCAGCCAATTTCTTTTGCAAAAGAAAAAAGAGAAAAGAGAAAAAAGGAGAAACAATGAAAAAGATGTGGAATTGACAAACTGTGTTAACTTTTTTTTGGAGATTTTATATTCAAAGTATTGTTGATTTTTTATGTGGTTTGGTTGATTTTATATGTATATAGGGAAAGGTCCTGTTTGTTGATGATTTAGTTAGACTGACCTTGAGTGGATGCAGTGTTATTTGACAATGACAACAATTCATGACAAAGAAAACAAGGAGAGGTGCTACAATCTGGTTTCTAGCAAAGCAGAAGATATTGTGAGTATATATATATACATATATATATATGTTATATTATGTATATATATATGTGTGTGTACGTATATATATATATATATACATATAGATAGATAAATAGTTGAAACAGGAGAGATGAAGAAGGAGAGGAAAATGGAAAACCAAAGAAGGTATCAAGTTGTATACAAATGGAAAACTATGCTAAGCGAGCAATTTCCCTCGATTTTGAATTGAGTTGAAAAGAAGGGTGGGAGCTAGATGACGAAGAATAGGAACAGGAGTTTTTTTGTCTCGTTTCAGGATTGGGGTTGAGATCATATGACATTTATGCCTTGGCTTTGGATTTCGCTTTAGAAGCACCAGCTTTGCGAGTAGTCGCGTTACCCTTCGGATTAGTGTTCGCTGCCTTCTTCCTGCTCTTGGTTGGTTTAGGAGCAGGTGCCGCTTGGCTGGCTTCGGTTGTTGCGGGCGCTGCACCATATGCGCCTAGGCCTACTTCAGGGCCGTAGTATGCACCGATCATCATACTAGCTTCCAATTCTGTGGCGATGTTCGTCAGTTCAAACTCGTCGTCCTCGTCATCCTCCTCTGCCTCAGCATCTTGCTCCGAGTCCCTCAGGGGCTCTACAACCTGTGGTGGTGGGGGTTCGGTGGGTTGAGGTGGGGCTGGGACTGGGTCAAAGCCTTCCTCATCCTCAGATGATCCCTCCCCGTCGTCGTCCGAGTCTGTGTCACTCTCTCTAACAGAACTACCGGAATCGCTACGCTGATAGGGGCGCTGAGGTACCGACGATGCAGATGAAACTGTCGTCAGATTCTGACTGGTCAAAGCAGCCGGCGATCGATTCCCGTTGACACCAAGTGGAGATCCACCTTTGCCATGGGGCTGTTGCAGGTGTTGAGTGTACTGCCAAGTGGGTATCGGTGAACTGACTCCGGACCTTCCGTTAATTCCGTTTGAGGATGGCACGGGGAAACGTCGAGTTGGCCCGCCATGACTCGGGACGCTTTCAGTTGTTGTGACGGTGACTGAGGCGGGCGAGACGCTCACCAACGCTGGAGTAGTTGCTGTGGGTACTCGGTCTTCCGGAGATGAGCTAGATGAGTAGGCAATACTCGCCAGTGGGCTTGGTGCAGTAGGCTGGTTGGATAGATTGGCCGATCGGGGGAGACCGTTGTAAGGATACGCGGGAGACACGGCCTTGGGGCGAGAATTGGATGGGCGGGACGGAAGGATCAAGGGAGGGTTTGCGTTTGGTCGAGCAAGGGAGGCTGATGAGGCCCCATTATCAGCCACAGAAGGCGAGCGGCTAAGGGTAGGCCGCCCAGCAGGACTGGTCGCAGCTGGTGCGAGGTTGCCCAGATGGGGACGTGCTGGGTAGGAATGTGCCGGAGGCTGATGGGAAGCAGGACTGGGAAGCTTCAGAGGCGATAAGGGTGAAGGTGCGCCAAGGTCAGGTTGAGGAGGAGGATCGGGATCAGCAGGACTATCAAAGTCAAACTCTTCGACTTCCTCGGCCTGTGCGACGCGAAGAGGGCCAGTATCGCTGGCAGGTGAAGTGGTGATCAAATTGGATTGATTGAAGGGTCTGTGGGCGGGTGGGTTGTGGGTCTGAGGATTTTGGGAGGAATAGGCAGAATAATCCCTCTTTTTGGTGGGAAGCACCAAATTGACTTGAGGGCTAGTGGTGTTGGTGTTGGTGGTAGTGGCAGTGGTAGTAGTGGAGCGGTTGGAACGATCGTCGGTGTAACGAGTTCTGTTGTTGTGATCACGATCTTGAGAACGAGTGATGTTGGAGGAGGATGAAGTGGAGGCATCGGAAGAATTGTGCCGGGGTTGCGAGGGTCTCACTACTCGGGGGTACTGTTGAGGGTGCCGGTGGGGAATTTGGAATTGGATGAACCCGTTTTGATTTGATTGAATTCCGGGTGGAAGGCTTGAGAGGGGATGGAGAGGAGGAGGAGGCGGTTGAGTGTGGAGGATTTGGGAATTGAGGTTTAGGAGGAAGGATATTCTTGGGGTTGGGTTTTAGTAGATTGTGAGGGTTGTTATTAGTAGATAGTTCTACTTTTGGGGGTGGTGGGGCGGAGAGGGCAGGTTTAGGGAGAGCCAATTGGGTGGTTAACTTGGCAGTGGGTTTCTTCTGGAGCGGGCCGGGGTCATCGTTCCTGAGATGAACGATGTTATCGAGTCGATGAAGAATCCAGCACTGTATGTTATCAATGATTGATATCGATTCGGATGGGATTGATGAGGAGTCAGTGAGTGAGATAAGAACAGGAGTGGGGATGAATGGATTGATGACCAACGTGTTGATTCTCGTCCCAGACGACGGCACACTCTATATCGGTTGTCTTTGTTGGCTGACCAGCCCAGCGACGACCACAAGGCTCGGAGGCACCTTGTCGTAGGGAGACATCGCCCGAGGCGGTAGAAGATAACGAAGCGCCAGCGTTTGAAAGTCCGGCGGGGTGGGAAGATGGATCTGTTTATGGAAGATGGTAAGATGTCGGAGAAGTGAGTGAGTGAGAAGAAGGCAGATGATGATGATGATACAGGAGACTTACAGCGGAGTGCGAAAGTGTGAGGTCTTGATGAGTCGGCAGTTGAGGTTGCAAAGCGGAGAGGACCAGATGGTAAAGGGGAAGCAGAGGTTGCCATGAAATACTTACAGAGCCAAACGAAGATCGAAGTGAGGGTTTGAGATGGAAGTGGATGTGTTTTGTTGGGATGAGGATGATAGATGATGATGATGGTGATGGGTGAAGATTGAAGAGTGGGAATTGAGTCGGAGGAGTGTTTAGGATGGGGTGTAGTAGTGCTGTGAGTGGGGTTGGCTGTGGCTGGATCAAGCCAGTCGAGACTATAAAGTTCAGCACCCCCGATTACGTAACCAACCAAACCCGCCTTCCTTTTACACTCACAGGAGCCTCACATCAATCGACACTCTTGAACTGAAGATCCCAACTACAAGCATACATACAAGCAGACCATATGCATACAAAATAAAATAGAAACAATCTTGACCCACACACCTTAAACTAAAAAGCTCAAAAAAATCCACTCAAAACCAAGATCACAACCTCAATCACTCTGCAACCATCACAAAATTATAATCCTCATGATCTGATAAACCAAAAAAAAAATCAGGATAACTTGTGCATAACCAAATGTGGCAGTAGGCAATACAGTTATACTGTTGACTAAATTCTTAAAGTTAGTACATGGCCAGGATGAAACTACATAGAAATCTAACACCCCTCAAACCTCCTAAAGTTCAAGAATTCCTGTAGCATCCATCTATCAAGTCAAGACCTAGTGTATGTGGATGATTTGCAACACAATTCTAGGGTCTGTGAAACATTTTAACCTCAGAGAGTGAAATAGTTTGGGTTCACCCTGAAGTTTATTCTACAGGCCATACAGATCACACAGCTTGTAGATTTATCACACACACAAGTCTTTGACCACTGAAGCCCAATTCTAAATCTTGTAATTTGGTGATTTATAATCAGAAAAAAAAATCAATTTCATCAACAAGTAAGAAAACATGAATCAATCCAAGTTTAGCTTTTGGTCTTTCATTTGGTTCAAAATACCATATGGGGGGTATAAAACATAGAAGATTAAATTGAGATTTGACAGCACAGAGCCTGGGACCTGTACCAGCATACTTAAAACTCTAATTGGCAAGTCCCAGAAAAAAAAAATTAGATCAACTCATCAGTGGAATGTTTCAATATGCAATGAATATTGAGCTTTTATTGCTAGGAGAACTAAAGGAAGAGAAAATTAGAAACAACAACAAAAGAAGAGAAACAAAAGGAAATGAAAAAAGAGAGAAAATCATTCACCATCAAGATATAAAGAAGAAACAATCACAACAACTAAGATAAGTATTGTAGACATAGGACAAGAGACAGGACACAAAAGAATTAAGTAAGAAAAGAAAGAGAGATAAGTTGGGCAAAGAGAAGTGAAACATGATTAGTTCAATTGTTTCTGAGCATATTGGAATAGGAGACCAATGTGTTGTGAGTTTGAGATGGAGAAGTAGTTGATAGACAATGATGGAAGGATTCAGGTTATGAAGATGTTGAGAGAAGTTGAGGAGAGATTGGGAAAGGCAAATGGAGTGCAGAATCAAAACAGAGGTAGGAGAGGATAATTGAGTTGAGTTGGGCAAAGAAGATGAGAGAGAGAGATGTTTCAGGGAAGTATTTGAAGCTCAACCAGAAGGAAGATTGAGTTCACTGAGGATAGCTGAGGAGATCAAGTTGAGTTTGAGACAACCTTTTAATTATATGTTGGGATTGGATTGAGGTTCACCATGTGTTTGTTTCTTGTCAGGACAGGTTGAGAACTAGAGAGAATAATGTTGCAGAGGTGTTACACATTAGCTTCCAAAAAATGTGATTTTCAACACCACATCTTTTCTGAGCTCAAAGGATCAAAGTTTTTACTTAATCTGATACTTAAGCAGCAACTGAAGGGTGTTTGATATCTACTTACATATAAATTTTTAAATTGCCTTATCAAGCATATCAACAATAAAAATCATGCTAAAACCTCCTAATTATTTGAATTCTGATTGTTTATTTTGTATCCAATACATTTATTTTCAAGTTATATCAAGAGATAGAAATAATTAAAAATTAAATTTGAACTAGATCCTAGCATTAGGCCAGAAAGAAACATCTTTCAAACAAAATTATTATTAGCATTTTAGTTGATTTACATATTATGAGTCTTGATGAAGGGCCAATAACTATTTTTATTTGATCAAAGTATAAAGGGCTGTACTAGACAACTCAGTCAGATTAAATAGAAGAATCTAATCTACCCAAAAATCACAGAAGATTTTGACAAAGAAAGAAAACAAGGATAGTAAGATTGTGAGATAAGCAACAACGCTGGGCCGCTATGCTAAACAGCCCACTAATTTTAGCGTAGCGACCCTCAAAACAGCCCGCCAAACCTGTAGTGTTAGCACGCTGTTAGTGCCACTATGCTGCACTACATTGCTTTTAGCGGCAAAAACAGCCCAAAAACTGCTACACTACGCTGGGGCTCTTTTTTGTGGCCCACACGCATAGCGTTAGCGCAGATTTGTGTATCTGCACTAACACTACGCTACAATGTAGCATATTTTTGCTACACTACGCTGGGCTAATGCTACAGTTAGCGTAGCTGGCCCAGCGTTGTAATTAGCACAGTGAAAAAATCTCGCCAAGCTGTCAGCAGTTGACATGCAATATTACAAATGTGACTTTGTAACATTAGATGCCAACTGCTGCCAGTTTGATGAGATTTTTTTCAGTGAAGTAGGAGAAATCCAAACACGGCTCAAAAATGGAGTGTTTTTGACTTTTACGTTTATTTTAGTTCCCATTCAGCTGCCATTCAGTCAAGTATTTTTTTGCATGTACTAGATGTCTGTGTTTGGATGATTTATTGCTCTGAGAGTAGTAGTTCTTGATTATTGTGTACTAGTATTTGCCCCCAATTTTGGGTAGTTGGACTTGGTGATCTTTTGATGACCTTTTGCCCCGTTGGAGGGTGTTGCTTGACTTTTGATGACCTTTTGCCCCTTTGGGGGGTGATGCTTGAGTTGGGAACCTGTATCAGTCTAATGTTGGTGTTGAAAAATTTGAATTGGATGTTGACACCAGTGTTAGATTGCATAACACTTTGTTTGGCTCTCTGAGCCCATTCCTTTAGTTTATGTAGATGCTTTGAAGCAAGAAGAACACAAGCAGAAAAGCTTAGGACTGCTTTGATCAATTTTCAGAATATTTCTGGGAAGCAATAAAGACAGAGGATGGAAAACCAGACATGAATACTTTGCCATACGTATTGGCCAGTAACAGAAAAGACATCCCCAGGTTTTGTTTCCCATTGTTTTAATCAACCTATAAATTTGCCTTTCAAATCCAGTCTCTAGACCCCATTTTCCACATATTTCTTTGGCTCCTTATGATAGATGTAATATTATTCTTTTTGCCTTCATTATAATATATTTAAACTGGCAATTGCTCCTGCTTTGGCCTTCACACGTTCAATGGACCTGTGTGGTCAGAATTCATCCATCCTGTACCCTGAGTTGATCCAGGCAGTTTTGTCAGATCTGTTTTTTTATGATTTTGTTTTCAAGCCATGCATGTGCACGGTGTACACCGCAAAAGTAGGGCAGCTCCTGATTTCTGTTGTTCCATTTTGCCTGGGCTCCTCCAGCCAAAACCCGGTTCCGAGCTCTGACCCGACCCAGAGGGGGTGCGGATGCTGCCGGATTTGCGGTGTCCGACAGACCCCCTCGGATGATTGCAGCCTGGTGATTACATAATCCATTCCCACAGCCTCGATGGACTGTCGCCAGGCCCAAATCCAGCTGACCCTGAACAAACTCAAGCAATCAACAATCATCTCCGAGAACTATTCTATCGATCTCTCGTTTCCATCGAACCACCAATAATGAGCGATAACGAACGCGGCACGGGTGGTGATGAGGTAGGTTTGCCTCGAGCTACCGTTAATAAATTGATTTCAGGTGAGTCGAACCTCAGCTTCTTCGTTTTCCTCGTCATATTTGATTCTAACCTTGTTTACTATTTTGTTTGCTCGAATTTTCATCCAGAGATTCTGCCGGCGGATGTGATTTGCTCCAAGGATACCAAGGATTTGGTTGCAGAATGCTGTAAAGGTAAAAATAAATGAACAAATTGTAATCTGCTTTTGACAATATACAGCTATACATGCAATTATTCCCCTTCAGTCTTTAACGGAATTCTATATGAATCTTCAACCTAAAAATTGGATTGCTGACTCCATACGTTCGTTTTTTCCCCCAGAATTTATCACCCTAATTTCTTCCGAAGCCAATGAGATTTGCGAAAAAGATGCCAAAAAAACCATTTCTCCTGAGCACATCACATCTGCACTCAGAGTACGTTATTCTGCCAGTTCTCTCCTTGACCTCACCTTCATTTCAATTAGCTAACTTAGCTGCTTGTGTTCGACCATAGCAACTAGGATTTGATGATTTTATTGAGGAAGTCGAAGACATTAATCGGGTGCACAAAGCACAAGCCAAAGTATGCATTCCTTCATCAGAAAAAAAAAGCAAAAAATCGCCTCCAATATCGTTGAGAGGCGTGTTCGCATTATTCACACAGAGAAAAACTTACTCATTTTTAATCCATTTGTCTTTCCTGTCGTTTTCCTTACGCGTTTACTTCGGTCTCCGGCATCCTTCAACGCCATACGACACTTATCTAGAAAGATAACCAGAAGAGAAAGAACAAACTTGACCAATCTGCTTTCACACAAGATGAGCTTGCTGCACAACAAGAATTGTTATTTGCGGCGAGCAAGGCTAGGTTCGATGCCGGTCAATCTTAACCTGTACCACCATCTTCTTGTGTAAATGAATTCAATACGATCAATGTACACATCTATCCATTCATAGCCTCTGCAGCTGGGAATAATAATGTCCACATTTCGCCTTTTTTCTGCGTCTTGTTTTTATATGTGTAGATGGATATATAGATATATAAATACATCAGAATTCGTTTCTTTTGTTCTTGTATGTTAGGAAACCCTATCTTTGAAAACCGAATATCAGTTCAGAACTAAGCGGAAACAATCAGATAAGCAACTCAGCATTGTGGGTTTTGGTTAGATGTTTTTCTTGTATCGCGATACACCCTCACTCAATCATACTGGCCTAGGTTCTATCTTGTTGGAAGAAATAAATGTGCCCTACCCGTCAAGGTTCGAGTTGATGAGTAGAGAGTGTTGAGCAACAAGCAAGCTCTTGGTTGAGTAATCGTCAGTTGTAGTAACGGGGTTCCAAGCATCTTCTTATTCAGCTTTGCTTGACTGAGATGTTGATTTCTACGGTAAATAATAATAATCGGCTCTAATAGCAAAGATGAAAAAAAAATAAAAAAGCAAATGCAGTACAAGTATTGTTTGAAACTGCGATAAATCACACGTGGCATCATAGAAGATACTCATTCAAATCTAAAAGCAGCCAGTGGCCACGCCTCCCAAAAACAACATAATGAACAGTATAGGCATTTTATACTAAAAACAAATGAAAAAGCTAGCCATCCTCGGGAAGATCCTTTGGTAAGAAATCGAATTCGTATGGTAAGATCATTCCCCTCTGACCCTCTTTGACGAACCAAATCATCTTCCAAACATCTTCGGCGTATTTGTCCATACTAAACGAATTCAAAATCCAATCCTGAGCAGCTTGAGCTTTACTGATTCGTTCCTGATCATGTTTCAACCACCAGTTCAGAGTTGTGATGATCTTGTCATCCGAGTCTTTATTCGAGAGTGGCACGATGACTTTCTCGAACATGGCTTGTCGATCTAGTGGGATATTTCCAGCAATCAAGCATCCGGCCGCAGCTGCTTCGACATATTTTTGTACCGAGTAAGCCCAGCGAGAGTCGGTAACAAGACAGATCTTGGCTCGACCAAAATCGTTTCCAAAATCGACCAACTGTTGTTCTTGGATCTCGGCGGTGAGTTTCTTGTTTCGTTGATCGGCAGATTTGATATCTTCATAACCTGGATGGCCTCGTATCCAACCGGGCAAGGTCTTCTTTCGGATCATATCTGCTAGCCTGGCTCTGAATGGGTAGAATGCACCCAGGTCACCGGCTATGATAATATCTTCTGGACGGGTGTTGCCGACGGGATGATAAAAGATCTTCTTGTCGATGAAATGAGGCTGATGGACCAAGAGTGCTTGAGTGGCGAATTGTGATCGGTATTCAAATAATTCATAAGCGTAAGGCGCCAAGACCAAAGTGACGTTGGCCACTGATATGGAAGATGGGACAAGAGGTGTATGATAAGCGATTGAAGTTGAATGATCTGAGCAAAAATAGGTAAGTGTTGGGCGTACGATTATAAAACTCTGCCTTTCGAAGGTCACGCATCTCATGGGGGCGGTCGATGATGACGACGCCATTGCCCTGCTGAGATAGTTCTTTAACCTGAGCGAACCAGGGTTTGGAGTCGATGTGCAAGAACTTGACCTGATCGTTATTGAAGTAGACCAAGACGGCATCGAAATGATCAGCCGAGCCGAATTTTTGGGCGATATTCTGAGTCAGACTGAGAGTATTCTTCCAGCCTTCAAAGTCAGGCCCCCAGAGGATGGCAGATGATACGAGATCGGGACGAGCGAGGAATGCATCTGGGTGGATGATTGAGTATTGATAGTATTGTCAGTGAAAAAGACTATGCAGATTGCAGCAGAGGATCTCCTGAGATGAAGGATGTGTTTAGACTTACCATGAGAATGGAGCAGCCATCGATCCATCAAGACTTCAGCAGTATCTTTGTCGACCAGATGTAAGATCTTCAACTTTGAGCGAATTGGGCCTGCTGTAGGCGAGAGTTTCTGGAAGCCGAGACCCCAGTTCTGAGCAAGATCATGGACTTTGTCCCACTTGAGGCAGCTACCATCCTGACACTGCTTGAATGAGAACTGGTTTGATAGGGTAGCCGGGATGATGACGAGAGTGAGCAGGAGGAGGAGTGAGAGGAGAGGCAGGATGACGCGTAGGACGAAGAACTTGAGACGAGAGCGCGATGGATGAGAGTCAAACCTGGCTGGATGGTGATGGTGATGGTGAGTTGATGGAGGCGAGACTAAGGGCAACTGAGATTCGTTGGCCGGAAGAGGGTGATAGGTGGATGAAGACATGGCTGGCCCAAGAGCTACTTAAAGTACTGCAATGTACATGCAGTGATGGAGAGGAATTAGGAGTCTGAGGAACTCCTATAGGCGAAACAGCAGCATTCAAACATCAAAGCGAGAGATCAGATTCTCATGAACCCAAAACAAGCAATTTCCAATCACAATCTCCTGGTGCACGTCCCTTGTCTCTGATCATGAGCCTACAACAAAAAGAACCATCCATACATACAAGTGCCGCCGATGCCTTTATTACAAGGAGGGCATGTGTCATGAAGATTAAGCCGACGCTGCCTTCCGCTTGAAGATAAGCCGACGGTGGACCTCTCAGTCTGGAACTCCAGGGTTGGAGATTGAACAAAATCACCCCGTCTGTCTGCTCATGCTGCACTCACTACAACACACTCATCTATTTGTCCTACCGCTGGCCCTCCTGAAGTTTCAAGTGGCATCCACCTTGCCAGGATAACTAGTGCAAGACAAGCTGAATTGTATGTCTTGGACTTCAAAGATATACTGAATATCACAAAAAACGGCAACCAATCAAATCACAAGTCTCATCTCATAATCCTCAAGTTTGCAAATTCCTAGTTGCCCAAACTCAACAAAATCCCTCCAGTTCCATCCAACATATGGCTTGCCAGAGGGACTTACCTACACGGATGGCAAAAACCGGCCCAGCCCCTAACTTATCTTAAGTCCCACCCAGTTGCGGTTGGGCGTGCAGTGGTGAAGCACTGAACCCCGCCCAACCGCAGGGAGGGACTTATGGCATGCCTAAAGTGGGGGTACTCAACCAAGGCCATCCACCAAAAAATTGAAAAATTTAGTAATCAATTTTTACAGACTGTAGTTTCAACCCAACCAGGCCCAGCTACTGGAAGGTTGGATCTACTTGACTCTGTTGATTTTTAGAGCTCACAAGCTACAATGTCCACCAAACCATTGAATTTCAAATAAATTGTGAATCAAACTCAGAGTCCTCTATCTTAGCCTGCGGCTCAAGTTTTCCATGCAGCATCAAATTCTTGTTTTACAGTTATGAGTTCAATTTTCTTGCAGGAAACACTTTCTGCAAAAATGAGTAGAGAGAAAGCAACAAGAGATGCAACTGTGTCTCTCCTTTGCTGGAACGACATGTGTAGCTCATCAAATGAGGGTGCTACAGGTTGTGTAATACAATCAATTGCTCAGATCCCCTCTGGTGAGTAGGGGCACTTTGGTCCTAAGTCCCTCCCTATGGGAGGGGTGGCTTTGCCAGCAGCCAGTGCTTCACACCAGTGACCCCCCCCCCCCCCCAGGGGGCAAGTACACCAATTCTGTTTTTTATTACAATTTTGAACTCCCTCAGGTGTGCAGAGTTCAAAATTCAAAGCACAAAGGTTTTCAGTGAGTGGTTCAATTTTTTATGTGCTGATATTTAGAACACTGTGGATTACAGAATTTCAACAGATTGGTGTGCAGTCCAACAAACCACTGCAGATTGGCATGCATGCATGCACAACAATTGCTTGCAGGGGGTATTCCCATGCAGATTGGTAGGAAATAAATTTCAAATTTCAAAAAATGATGAAAACTAAGCCAGTAAAAATTACTGGCTTAGTTTTCATCATTTGCTATATTCAAGAAGTATTTTTTATTTTGATGTAAAATGATTTTTACCGTAATTTTACACATGTCTAAGGCACCAATTATAAAAGGTGTTTTGGCCATTTTTTTGAAACGTTTTGGAAAAATTTTGGGGATCCATTTTCCTATTCCAAAAACGTGAGATCTATGGGAATAAAAATGGGGTTGCAGTTATAAAAAATTGATCAAAAGCCAAGTGGAAGTCAAACTCATCCTCACCTCGCACTTGGCCGGAATCCTTCCTAAAGTCATGATCCCTCCTCCAATCGACCCCCTTCCTCTCCAAATTTATTCCCTATGGCAATGGTACCACCGACAGCCGCAAGATGACCATTTCATTTACATCTGCGCCCGCCGCACTTGCTTCAAAAGACCCATCCGATGGGAGCCGTTGTGGAACTGCTCAGTGAATGAGTGAAGAGCTTGGAGGGGATAAATATTAATAAAACTATAAAATAGTAATAATAATAAATGGGTGTTGGTGAGACTGCCTGTCAGCCTGCTACTAATCAGAGCCAGCCTGAACATAGCATTTACTTATTTAAGAGATATTATTACTTACATATGTACATACAATTAAAATATTAAAATACACTATTTAAATAAGTTGAAAACACTATAATAGAGATATTATTACACAGTACACTTACATTGTAAATATTTTATGAGATAAACATTTGAATAATTAAATTTTATGAGATAAACATTTAAATAATTAAATAAACTATAGAAAATAACACTTTTAACCAGAATCTTCTAATAACTTCTGAACCTTAATTATAACTCAGAATATTACTGCAGATTCTGAATCTACATGCAAAATAACCTAGGGTAGCTCACCAAGTGTACCCCTGAAATATTACTCCTTCACTTACTTTGTAGTCCTTGAGTGATATTGGACCAAAATACACTGTAGACCCCTCCAGTTACATCATACTACATGTTGTAAGGGGGCTACATGTGTAATTAAGGTTCATGCAGTTCGGGAAAAAATCTACAAACAAGGTTTACATCATTGAAACCTTAACTACATAAGCACAGACTACAGTATTAAATTGTTTGGGATGATCTGTGGCCCTTTTTGGCCCAATTGGGACAATCACTCTCTTGAGGATCAACCCATGCATTATGCAGTGCTTACATAGGCTACAGGAGTGTTACAGTTTCGTCAGAACACCCTGTAAACATGGTTACAAGCATTACATCATCTCCTTGACACCTGTAACCAAGCTCTACAGGTGCTACAGATGATCAAAAGCTCCCATAGGCTTAGTAGGAGAGTTGTAGCAACTAGAGAGACTCCTGAGTTCGCCTCCAGAGGCCCAGAATGGGTACTTAAGAGCCCCTTCTTCCCCCTGAACTTGGTTTCCCCATCTTCATCATTACTTACCAGCATAAACCGTCACCAACAACTAGTTTCAACCTGCCTTTTGGCCCAGTTCCTGCTGTTATCAACCTGAATTTCCACTAGTGAAAAACCGCGGCGGGGGCTCCGCGGGTAACTTAAGAATATGGTTATTTTGAAAAGTGAGAAAGAAGCACTTGCAATTTTGCTGTTACAATTCTTTCTTTTGTTTCGTAAACACACTGAGATTTCAAATAAAATTCAATACTTGACTGATGATTCAATGTATTGCCACCATACGATTTGTAATACATGCAGTTGATTTTGGCATGTGAAGTCCTGTGTTGTTTGTCTGTTGGCATTGATTTTTACATTAAAAAGATAATATTTGATGGTGTGGGTTGTTTAACAACTTTGGCAACCAACCCATGAAAAGATAATCCTCCAATGCTTGTGACTCGTGATAATGCCACATTAATTTGACTCTGCCCAGAAACTGGATTTGGAAGATAAACAGCAACTTTATCTAATGAATGATTTTGCACTTGGCTTATAGTGACAGAAAATGCTAGCACAATTGGAAACTACTATCACAAAGAGGTTACACCATAGAAGTGGTGTGTTCATGGATGATGGTTTTGGTTCTGCTGCAAAAATTGATTAAAAATACATGAGGTTCAAACTCTTGAATTGGTGACCTTGTCCTGTTGGAAATACCCAATTCAAGATCTTATATGACAGGAGACTAACATATATTCCTTGTTTCAACCTGTGAATCACATTGGGTATTCCAAGAATGGTAAATGTGCTGAGTAATTACTCAGAAATTGCTTCATCACTATCTTCTACATCTTCTTGGTTCATGCTCAGGCCAGTGGTTCATAAAATTCACTGGGGATGGGTGTGATGAGCAACTTGTTGATCTTATTGACATCACCATTCAACAGAGTCAAGTTGATTGGAGAACTATAATATTCACCCAAAGAAGAAATCTCTGAGCCAGCTACAACATCCAACATTGTGTGTACACCATGACACAAACCTTCCTGGACACATTTTGGTCTGATTGATCCTGAAATAGGGAACAATTTTTTAATGAAACAACAGCAGAATGTTCTTGCTGATTACTGCTGTTGCCTGTTGACAATAGCCATTCATGGAATTGGAAATTCTCCCAAGGTGAAGTTTTTTTGTTGTTGTTCTTTAGTCAAAGATTTTTGTACACATAATGAAAACATCAGAACATGCTACCACTGCAGTGTGCTTATCTTGCAAGGAGATTTCTTCCCAAAAGATAACATGAGGTTCAAAAGAGTGGTGCTAATTGCCATGAATTACCAATTTTTGGTCTGCTGGTACTGCCTGAGAATGTCAAGGTTGACAACATTGAGTGTTGTGAGCAAGTCCAGATCAAGGTTGTGGAGGAAAATAGAGATGGTCATGTGTTCTCATTGACTGAGATGAGTTTATCAGGCGATGTGTGTCATCCTGTGCCATCGGTGGGATGGGTAGATCAAATTACGTTGATTTGCTGATCTTAAATGGGAGAGATCTATAATGTAGGACCGAATAAGCAATGACATTGCTCGGGTTTCTTGAATTGATGAGGTGGGACCTCCGTGTTGCCATGTTGATGCAGATGATCAGTTGCATTTGAGGGAGATGAGCATAGGGTACAGCTCGACGTTGGTTATCCTGCCTGGTGGTGGGCTGGGCAATTGGACGGGAATTAGCAGACTGGTTGCGACACACCAGGAACGGTGCCTAGGTGGACTTCAACAGGTATAAAATGAGCTCTTCAGTTCCACTTGATAACATTGCCTCCCATCGCTTGAACTGATTTGATGGCACAAATCAGCATCGATGACTAACCCGGCATGGCAGCCTAACAGTAACAAACATTAACTTCTTGCAATTGCATGATGAATTGGGATGAGTGGCAACCTCTCTTGATGAAATCAATTGCAAAAAGTTTGGCTTGAAAGCCTGAACATTAATTGTCTTGCCCTTGATTTGAATGGAATGACTGGATGGGTAGCAACCTCATCCTGGTCCCATGGCTCCTGGCAGCTTCGCTGCCAGCGGCCTTCGGCCGAAATTAGTTGTCCAAAAGGATGGGGGCCTTCGGCCCAAGCCTTCGGCCCAAGCCTTCGGCCCAAGCCTTCGGCAGAACAGCCCTGCTTTGCAGGGAGAGTTGCGGCACCATGAACCCAGGTCAACTGGAAAACATAGGTTTTAAATCAACCAACCAACACCTGTTCCCCAGCACTCCTCCAACCTCTCTTACCCACCTTTCTGAGCGCTTCAAGAACAGTTTCCCCCTCCTGAAGACTTCCTTGGCTTAGAGATAAGTACTAGTAAGTATTATTTCTCTGTTTCTTCAGTTGTAGGCTATTGCTGGGCATACTCCTTTATTACAAAGTGTCAGCCACAGAGTACATGTCACAGTACCTTTCATGTACCAAGTAACTGCAACACCTGTACTTATGTACATAAGTACTTATCCATAATGTTGATTACCTTTACCTCTTGTTATCTTATTATTATCATCAACTTATCTTATCTTATTTATCTTACATTTATCTTATCTGTTAATTACTTACCTATTTAAATACATACCTGTGTTCTACATTAGTAATTATCACTTACCTTTCACTCCCTTGTCCGTGAAATACCTGTACCACAAGTTATCCCTCTGCTACAGTATTTTCACGGTCAAATATTATTACAAATAAATATGTACATGTATTAAATAGTAAGTATTAAGTGTCAATAGAATTAATACATTCAATACATGCACTGATCACAATTATGACTACATTATTAGAGGATCTGTTAAGTACACATCAAGAGCAACTAGTACATTGAACAACTAGTACACAATTATGATGTCACTTACAGATCATGACAAATAATGATCAGTCACTCAATTGATGTGCTCATTCTCCTGGCCAAAGCTCCCTTGATTCTGAGCGCTCATTCTTTCCCCCCTTCAGTATTCTGGAACTTATAATCCGTGCCTCTTTCACTGATTAATCCCCAGAATATTCAGACACCAGTTAAACCAGTTAACATTTATATTGATACAGTACCCGTAACCAACATAAATCTTGTCTACATTTATTGTTCTTAAGCTTCAGTACTCTTACTCAACTTATCCACAGTATTCATAGCCTTGCTGAATATTCCCATCAACAATACCTGTTAATCTTCAACTAATTTTGTTAAAGCTTAATAAGTATTGTTAGCCCATTCCCTTTGGGGAATAACCAAATCAATCCCAGGTGAGTCTTAGTACCCTGGATGCCTATTAATACCTTGTATTGATCCGGATGCGCTGTTGATAGCAAGCCTCTCAGTAAAGACCATACTGATAGAGTGAAACCTCCTCTTTACAGGACTGGTATTAATCACCCACTACCTAACACTCACCACGCTCAAAAAACTTCAGTCAACTCATAGTAACAACCTTTTTACTATTAAATACTCAGGTTAGTTACCCAGAGGCTGACTCAAAGGACCAGAACATCAGTACCACCCCTGTAACCCAAGACCTGATATTAGAGGGCACCTTAAAAACCCCTGTAACTCAGGCCCCTCTGTAAATAAAAACTTAACAGTTTGTATTACTATTTTCTTTTATTTACACACACTTCCCCCCACTTTTCACGTGTTACCCACACGTGTACACCTCTTATTTACCTTTGCACCTAGTGTAGCTAGAAGAATACCAGTTCTTGGCATCACTCAGGCTGACACTGCCCTCCTTGTGAAGAAATATTGAATTGATGACTAAAAACCAAAACCAAACTAGAAACAAGAAAGATGAGAAAACAAGAATGTAAGGAAAAAGAATCAAGGAGAAAAGAATAGTGAGAAAAAGCATACCACTAAGATGATGGAAATAATGAAAAAGATATGAGGACTTTGAGCAGAAGTACTGAAGTAATATATGATATAATAAAACTAAGAAAAGAAACAAGAACATAAGTAAGGAAAAAGGAGATCAGCGATTTCATCAACAAACAACAAGAGAGATAAAGAGAGGGAAGAAAGGAAAAGCGAAAAGAAGGTAAATGAAAGCAACAAACAGCACGTTGAAGAATACGTGAAGCTTGATTTGTAGCGCCTTGATGTAGAGTTCCTGAATGGATCGAGAATCAATCTTGAGGCACGAAGGAGAAAGGTCGAGTGAGTATGAGCAAGGTAGAGCGCAGTGAATGATATGAACTTTACACTGTAAGGTCTTGAATAATTGAGGAGAGCACAAAGAGTTCCGGAAGGATCTTGAGCGTAGGTTCTTGATCTTGAGCAAGTTGAGAAATCGAGTATCTTGTCGAGTCTGGGGATTGCTGAGACCGGCAGTGATGATCTTTTTAATTCACAGGAAGTTTAACCCTAAGCGGTTGAAACTTCAATTCTCATTACTTTGCTGCGGATCAAGAAAAGTATCGCGTGTGATTTGAGAGGGACATTCCAGTGATATTTCAACACCTTGTCTAGCTTGTGAGAGAGTTACACTAAGAAAAATAATAGTGTGGTAGATTTCTAAAATTTATCTTAGTGAAGATACTACCTGTTGAGAATGTTGAGATGTTTTATAAGAGTGGATGGAATGGATGGTCAAGAGCTTCTGGAGTTAGGAGATATCTGTGGGTTTCTGGTTTATTCTGGTTTAATCTATTCTTTCTGGGTTCTCTGGTTCAATTCTGGGTCTTTAATAAAGTGAGTCTTTATTTCTTCAATATCTTCTGTTGAGAGCTGGAGGTGAGTTAAATAATTTCCTTATTATTTAACAGGGTTCAATATAAGGGTGAGGAGTGAGGGTTTTAGTAATATCTCTTATTACTATTCTGAATCTGTTATATAAGGGTTGATGAATGCTAAGCAATATCTCTAATTAATATTCCTATGCAGACATGGGGAGGAAGGAAGTGAAACATGGGCCAGGAGGGCCTCTATTTATAGACAAAATCTTTGGTGGGATGGTCAACAGCTTCACTGATGAGAATGCTTGGTCTGACTGGGTAATGACCTCATATTGCTAATTTAATGATGTCATGATGATGTCATGCTATGAAATTAATGATCTACAGCTGTGAAATTAATGATGTGCAGCTGTGGAATTAATGATGTGCTGTCGTGAAATCTATATTCTGCTGCTATGTTGGTTAATGATGTCATTTGTGTGATTAATGATCTGTATGTTGTGAAATAATGATGAGTGGCTGTGTAATTAATAAATGGCAGTGTAATTAATAAATGGCTGTGTAATTAATTATTCATGATCTGCTTAATTAATTAATATGATCTGCTGGATGATTTTATGACTGGTTATTATATTATTCTGTTCCCTCCTGAATGGTTTTCATCTTTATAATTATTATATTATTTCTAATTCCTTGTAAGATCTGTTTTGTAATTATATATATATATATATATATAACTTTTAATCTTCCTTGTATGTTCTATTCCTTTAGTCTGTGTAGTGTAAATATATATAAAATAAAATATCAAGTAAATTAACTATGATTTGAGAATAAAAGGCTTTATCATGACTATTTGATATTATTTCCTGATTTCTTGAGTTTATATTTACTATTTTAGTATTTTAATATATCTTTTATATGTTTTATGGGTTTGATTGGTCTTACCACACCGTGGAACGACCATCAGATCCCGCCAATAAGATTTGTGGAGTACTTCTGCATGTCATTAGAAGACTTCTGGTGGCTGTCGGAAAAACTACGGCCGCAACTCCAGCAAGATCTGCTTGGCTGAGGCGAACCCCTTGAGTGTCAAAGCACAAGTCGCTGTAGGACTCTATTGACTCGGCCATGGGGCCAGCTTTGTCAACATCTCTCATATTTTCAACATTGGAAAAGAGACAGCGGACATGGCCTCTGGTAGGTTTGTCATGGTGGTGCTGCAGGTGCTGAGGAGACAGTTGGTCAGGTGTGTCAATCATTTCCCACCAGATCCTGACAACTTGGCCAGCCAAATCATCTAGGGCAAGTGTTTGGTTGTACGCTGACTGAATGGTACAGATGTATGAATCAATCATACTGTGTAATACATGCTTCCTCGGCCTGTAATGGTCTCTGAAATCTTTTTCTGAGCCATAAATCTGTCCAAAGGAGGTCCATAGGCTCCTCTGGACACGTTTTGTGTTTTATTTTCACAAAAAAAGCAAACTACAACAAAAAGCAAAATGATATGAAATCGTTCCAAAAAAAAAGGTAAAAAGTTGTTTATAATTGGTGCCTCAAAGTGTGGGAAAAAATTTAAAATGTCAAAAAATATTGAAGAATAAGCTGTAAGAAATTAATTGAAAAAGGTGTTTAATTGCAATTTTCAAAGTGATCTGCTTATTTTTGCAAAATTCGAATGATGCCATTAAATTCTATGCATATTAAGCACCTGTGGCTGCAAAATTCTTCCATCCCAAATGGAACAAATTCATGCACACATCATCCATTTGGAATGGAAGAAGGCTGGAGCTGAGCTCGCCGAGTTTTTCCAGCTCAGCCAGCTCAGTCAGCTCTTGGACCCAGCTTATCCAGCTCAGTCAGCTCCAGTCAGCTCTTGAACCCAGCTCACTCAGCTCTTCAACCCAGCTCTTCCAGCTCTTGGATTCAGCTCATCCAGCTCTCCAAACCAGATCCCTCCGCTCTCGGACCCAGGTCACCCAGCTCGTCCAGCTCTTGGACACAGCTCACCCAGCTCACCCGGCTCTCGGACCCAGCTCACTCAGCTCTTGGACCCAGCTCATCCAGCTCTCCGCTCCAGCTCACTCAGCTCATCCAGCTCTCGGACTCAGTTGACTCAGCTCAGCCAGCTCATCCAGCTCATCCAGATCTCGGACCTAGCTCAGCCAGCTCTTGGACCCAGCTCATCCAGCTCTTGGATTCAGCTCACTCAGCTCACTCAGCTCATCCAGGTCTTGGACCCAGCTCACTCGGCTCACTCAGCTCATCCGGCCCTCGGACCCAGCTCTCGTACCCAGCTCACTCAGCTCTTGAACCAAGCTCACTCAGCTCTCAGACCCAGCTCACTCAGCTCTTGGACCCAGCTCCGTCAGCTCAATCAGCGCATCCGGCTCTCGGACCTAGCTCAGCCAGCCCTTGGACCCAGCTCACTCAGCTCTCAGACCCAGCTCACTCAGCTCTTGGACCCAGCTCACTCAGCTCAATCAGCTCATCCGGCTCTTGGATCCAGCTCACTCAGCTCCCAGACCCAGCTCACTCAGCTCATCCAGCTCTTGGACCAAGCTGACTCAGCTCAGCCAGCTCTCTGACTCAGCAGACTCAGCTCATCCAGCACCTGGACCCAGCTCAGTCAGCTCCTCCAGCCGTCAGCTCCTCCAGCCTCGGGACCCAGCTCCTTCAGCTCTAAGTCATCCCTTGGCCCCAGCTCTTCCAACTCAGTTCTATCCCCAAGTCAGCTCTTGAAGCCAGCTCACTCAGCTGTGTCAGCTCTACAAGCCAGCTCAGTCAGCTTCCCAAGCCAGTCCGTCAGCTCCGTCACCTCTCAGACCCAGCTCAGTCATCTCTGCAACCACGCTTGTCTACGGACCCAGGTCACTCAGCACCCGGACCCAGCTCAGTCAGCTCTTGAAGCCAGTGCACTCAGCTCACTCATCTCACCAGCTCAACCAGCTCCTGCAGTCAGCTCACTCAGCTCAGAGAGCACCCCGACCCAGCTCAGTGAGCTCATCCAGCTCTTGGAACCAACTCTTCCAGCTCAATCAGCTCTTGTGCCCAGCTCACTCAGCTCATCCGCCTCTTGGACCCAGCTCATCACTCATGCCATCCACCTCTTGGACTGAGCTCACTCAACACAGCACCCAGCCCCACTCAGTCGGCTCTTGGGCCCAGCTCAGCCAAAGCTCAAACCCAGCACAGTCATTCAGCTCTGGGACCCCGCTTATTCAGCTCATCCAGCTCTCGGACCCCACTCAGTCAGCTCTTGGACCCAGCTCAGTCAGCTCCATCAGCTTTTCCAGCTTATCCAGCTCTTGGATAGAGCTCTGTCACCTCTCCAAGCCAGCTCAGTCAGATTTCTCGGTCTGCATCAGACCCAGCCCAGTCAGCTCTATGCCCCATATCAGTCAGCTCTCTGGCCCAGATCCTCAAATGCATCTCATTCAGCTCTCTCGGCCATCTCAGTCAGCTCTTGAAGCCTGCTCGGTCAGCTTGCCCGGCTAATAAGGCCCCCCAAGCCAGCTCTGTCAGCCTCTGACCCTGCTCAGTGTGTCAGCCTCAGACATGCCTACAACCCAGCTCAGTTAGCTCTTGAAGCAAGCTCAATTAGCCTGCTCACCTCACCTTGCTTGGTCAGCCCTTGGGCTAACCTCAGCCTCCTCCGGCAACTTCCAGACCCAGCTTGGCTCAGTCAGAAAGGTCAGCTGGCTTGGCCCTCCCAATGAGCTATGGAACAATTCAGGCAATGCAAGAAAAAATCATATTGGAAGTAGAAAATTAGTCTGACTTGCAAACCACAACCTTTCTCAGAATGGGGGTAAAACAGACCAATGAGCTTTTCTTGTCAAGGAGATGCAACAAACAAGGTTTCTGTCCATGCAGGTATGCAGGACTCTGCATGATACACACTGTGAGTTGAGGGCTGAGACAACTGTGCATCCATAAGTCTCACACAGATGGTGAGAAATGAGAAACAGGGAGGAAGCCGGTGTGTATACTCAATGCACCATCTGGGATTTCAGAATTAACATGAAGATTCAGTTTCTTCAATCCAAACAAACATCGGATGTAAAGCACTCACAGTAGGTTTTTCTGGTTGAGTACCAATGGTGTGGATGTGACAGTTCTCTGTGGCGGAGTGGTATCCCATGGTGGAGTGAGCCGTTGATCATAATTCAGAATTACAGTGCTATCCTAATGGTTGATGACATCATAGGTTTTCAATGCCTTAATCTATATTTTTGGTGATTTTGAGTCCAAGGTTACTTCCAAAACAGTATAATCTAAAACACACATTTTATGTAATCTTGTTTTTCCTGAATCTTCCACCACAGCTCCAACCAACTGGCCAGTTATATGAAATCGGGCTTTTGTGCATGGTCTCAGTTTCCACTGGTTGAGTTGGATGCCTGATGGAATAACTACCATCCATGAAGTGATCTATGTGTCTGATGCTTAAACTTTTTTCAAACTGAGAAGATTAGATTATGTTTGTAGGAGGGAGACAGAGAGAAACAGAGCTTCTATTTATATATAATGGCATGATGATGAAAGTATGAACAAGAGAAACTATGAAGACTTATTCCCCTACTGCTGATCAAAAGAAAAAAAGGGAGAAGGAACTACCAGGTGAGAGAAAACAAAACACTAAACTGTTTATGCACAACATTTGTAACAAAGGATACTTATATATCTTGATTGAGTTTTTTTTTTTGAACAAGGGCACAAATGATGAGGAGGCAAGGGAAGTGTGATGGGACCTCTTTGAAGAGCAGGAGATGTGAGAGACACTCTGATTTGATTTATCTTTTTATTATACTCTGCTTAACTACCACATGGATGCTAATTGACTGACTGAAATAGCAAATAGGAATTGGATCCGCCTTGATTTTTGGGTGGAATTGACGGTCGATGTCGTTGCTGATCCAAAGCTCTGTCCGCTTGGATCTGGCAAGATCACATATCTCAAGGATCTCAGCTAGAATTTATCATAAAGATCATGTTTGAATTTTTGAAAATGAAAAAGAACAATCAATCAGGCAGATTGTTCTGGAGCGGTGTACCAGTGAGAATCAAGCGATAACGCGATTGGTAGTGCGTCGTCAGAGTCAGTGAGAGCTTTGATTGTGAGTTTTTCATTCGATGTCCCCTATTTTATGAACGTAAAGTGAACGATCAAAAACAATCGATCAACGTGCACAAAGAGCGGAATGTGACTTACTCGTCGATGATCATATGCACCCATTTGATCTTACATAACATTGGACAATCTTTGATGATATATTCATATGTGGGCTGACATTTTCGAACGTTGGGTGAGCCCTTGTAGACGACCACTTTGACGGTTGGGGCCCACTTCTCGAATTCTAGAGTCCAGTTGGGTAGGGTCGATAGTGGGACGATGACCAGGTAGGGGCCAGGTTGTTTCTTGTTTTCCATCAGCCAGGTGATGAGGGAAATTGTTTGGATCGTCTTTCCAAGACCCTAAAAGATGTGAAACGTATCTGCTCTGAATATCCCGTTTTCCTTAAAAAAATCGAAGTAGAGATGAAGAAAGAAGAATTACCATTTCATCTGCAAGAATTCCGTTGAGTCTATTTTTATAAAGCGAGACCATCCATTGAAGACCCTTGATCTGATACTCCTTCAATTGACCGCCGGTGAGCAGGGAGCTCTGTTTGGTGACCTCCTCCTTGATCCGATGAGCGACGTTGTAAAAGTCGGCCTTGCCACCTTCAGCCGTTGCGGCCTGGTTTGCAGCTGCTCTATCGTCATCGAAGACGGGTGCAGCCCCAAATGCACTCTCATCAATTGTCGCACCAGTTTGATCTTGTTCAACATGAATCTGACCATCCCTGTGGACGGCGTCGTTCTGTTGTTGGAGGACTGCATGACTCAGATTTTCGAGGTATTGATCGGTCTGTCTGAGCAGATGCGTGATTCGAGTATCCTTGGCGGTATCGATCAGTTTCAGGTAGGCCTCTTCATCATCAGCCTTGAGGGCTTTCAATCTCTCCTTACTCAATCGTTCGATCCTTCGTTGCTCTTCCTTCTCAGCTTCGACATGGAACTTGATCACCGATTTGCCGAATCTGGATAAGTCATCAAGGCCATCACTAAGACGAGAAGAAATAGCTGAATCAGTCTTTTTTTGCTTGTATGGGAGTGCAAGACGGGGAAAGAGAACGGACCAGGAATATAAGCATCAGGACAATTGATGTCCTCCCGAGGCGGTTGGTAGCCTTCGACTTGCCCAGGCACTTCGGAATGTTGGACCAATCATCTGGTATACAATGATCACCATAATTACTATAAATAAGCAATTTTTTGATATAAATAAAAAGTCACCAAAAAATGTGTTTTGATGTTCGGTAGAGTCCGAAAGCAAGAAGTGTTAGAATCTAGAGATTGGATGAGTGGAGAGACTAAGTGAGACATACAGTATTAGCAGCGGGAGTTTTTCCTTTGCCTAGGAGCTGATTATGGACTTTGACGAGGCCTTCATCCCTGTTGACATTGAGGGCGCCTTTGTCGGCCAACTTGGCCAAGAAATCGTCGACCTTAGCTTTGGAGAGCAAGTTGATAGCCCGGACGTGTGTTTGGAATGGGTTGGCTGATGCGGAGCGGCAGCAGGGGTCCTGTTCGTCTTCGATCATCTCGTCGGCCGTCATCGGTTGGGTGGCGTGCTGGGGTGCTGATTTCGCGAAGTTTGTCGCCCGTTCTCGCGTCTCTCGGACTTTGTCCAGCTTCATCAGACGCTCGTAGTCCCCTAATATCATCGTCGATTGCCCGATCAGGTCGACCGGCTTGTTCGTCTCCGGATCGTATATCGTCCGCGCTTCTGAACTGATTTGGGTCAGTTGGCACAATACTGCTTTCAGACCGGCAAGCTTCCTATCAAGTACATTCTTTCGATGGAGCCAGATCTCGAGCAAGTCGAACTGATTGTCGATCGACGAACAGAGCAATGTTTTGAGTTGGTTCAGTGATTTGGCGATGTCGTCCTTGCTTGGGTATCCAGTGCGTGTTGAGGATGGGAGGCCTTTGGTTCCGTTCTCGGCCGAACCGGGGAAGTATGATTCAATCACCGCCTTTTCTACTTCTAATACCGTATCGTAGATCGCCTCGTTGATGATGTTAAAGATATGACCTGTTGTATTTTTTTTTCAAATTTGAAGATTGAATCAGTTTCTTCTTTAATATTGAACCAAAACATTATTTGACTGAATACTTACCAGTGAATACCTTGGGTGCGAATCCGAAGTGTTTGGTGAGGAGATCATCGATCGCGTATTGTTCGTTGAGTGGTGGCAGTTTGTCCAGCCGGTCATATGATGATTCGTTTTCCTTAGCCTTGCCAGTTGGAGGTTCGACGAAGAAAGACAAAGACGAAGGGCGGAGAAGGTCGGGGAGCGCAGAAGAGAAGCCATTGACAGAGGGCAGAGGAGGTTGACTTGAAGCAATCGGAGGAGGAAGAGGGCAAGGGCGGGGGGGCCACGAGGGCGAGAGGCAGCAAGTCGGGATAGAGCGAAGGTTCGGGAAGAAGACGGGTCGGAAGAGGAGCAGGAGCCGGAGGAGAGAAGAGTTGTTGATGGGTTTCGGAAGACAGCTCGAATGGTTCGGGTTTGATGATCGGGAGGAGGGTAAACTCACGTGAGTCTGCTCTCTCGGATCCACTCAGTATGACTTGGGAGCCAACTCGTTTGCGTTTGTGTTTGGATAGCAAGGACCTATACATATCGAATGTCAGTTTGATCGTTCAAGGAAATTGAAAAAGAAGAAGAGGATGGCTGACTTTTTACGTTTGATCGGAGCTGTTGTTGTTGGTGTAGGTAGTTTGAATCAGTAGTTCAGACAGAGTAGGTGTGAGAGTGAAAGGACTTACTGACTGATTGATTTGGATTCGGCTGAGCTCTGTTCTATCTTTTATACCAGGTCCTTATCAGCTACATATTGATATTCATGCGGGTCACCCAGGCCAACCAGTCCTCCCCTTCTCTTGCTTTTGCATGGCCTCCCCAACCCCAACCGACGCCAATACTAGATCGTCCCATTTACAAACAAGGTCAATCCAGGATCTGTGGAATCAATCAGAGCCTCTACTCGGGCTAGAAACACGACCATGGGACTCACTCCGCCAATGATTGAGATCATCAGGGGAATCGCTTCGTCCGGGCCTTCCAAGAATCCGATCCATGGGACGGCCATTATGGTCTCAGACGAAACCTCATCCGGCAGAGCCTTCAAGCGACCCACCTCCTGAAGATTGGACATCGACGCCTTGGCCATCATTGATCACCCCGTCCTCGTCAACCAAAAACCTACCCCTAGTCACACAAATCCCGAGCGCTCGATGGAAAGAGGTCTTCTTGATTCCAACTCTTGCCAATCCATCTTCTGCTCCCCTCACCTCAACCACCTCCACCACCTCCTCCGACCCTACTACCTCAACCAACGATGCCCTCGGTCTCAGAACACTCGACCTCAACGATCCAACCGCCACCCTCCCAAACTGCTCTTCCTCTCCCTGCCAGCCGCCCCTCCCGGCGCCTATATCCCAGTTAATGAGGATGATGACTCCTTTGATCACCCCACTCAACGCCTCCTCCTCCTCTTCCACCAAGGCCTGGGTCTTCTTACACCCCCTATCCTCAACTAACTCGAAGCAGTTCCAGTCCATCTCTCATCACTCTGCCGGCCCAATTTAATATTCGAGATCGCTACAATCCCATCCCGTGTTCACCCATGCGTGGCTCCTTGCCCGGGCTCTGGAACAAATCTTTGAGGACCTCGAGACGCTGGGCAGTACGACTATCACCCTTGACCATCAGCTTAACCTCGACCTCCTTCTTCTGCACGAGTCATTGGATAGAAATTCGGTCCCTGAAAATTGGTTGTTGTCCAATAGCGTCAAAAATCGCTTGCCCAAAACTGGCAATCAGGATCGGTTCGCTCATTTGGAATCTTGGAAGAGTCTGTTGCTCCTCGAGGATCCTCAAGTCTTGATCAAACAAACTGCAACTGGAAGTCTCCTTGGCCCACCTTGAATTACGTATGCTGACATGTTACCTGGAACGCTTCACTTGTAACATAACAGGCTTTCTGAGTACAAGTTATTGTTGTGATTCCTCTTGAGGGCAGATTGGATGTCCGGACGATCGGTTTCTCTTGGAATGGCTACTTTATTGCAGTTGCAGGAGAAGACTTCTTTATACATGTTGTCCATCTCTTTTTTCTGTACAACCAAACTCAAGGCTAACAATCTCTGTTTTGGGGTGCATGTAGAGGAGTACAATAGTCGGCGGGATCAACTGGTCAGCAAGCAGGATCACCCAGAATCACCCTCTCTCTCTCCGTGTGTTCCTAACATCATCCTTCATGCATATCAAATCATGTAAATACAAATCTACTGAACATAAGTCTCTAATTGCAATAAATCTCTTTGTTCTATATTCTTACAAGTGGGCCGTCGGCTGGGCAATCTGATTGTGAGTGCATGAAACTACATTGCTTCACCCCATTTGGGACTTCAGTTACGTTTTCCTTGCATGATCTGTCTTCTGATGAGAAATTTGGAAACAACTTGAGGGATCAATTGTTATATGCACTAATTTCAATTGCTTTGTGTCAAATAAACAGAATTATTTTAACGCAGTTAAACATGAACAATCTGGAAAGCGCCAGTCTCAATATCTGATAGCCATTTGCGTCGGATGCTGGTGATGATATGATCAGCTCCCATATCTAATTCTTGTCTGCTGAGGGTAGCTTCTTCGGTCTGAACAACAGTCAGGTATGGATACCTTCGAGCTAACCTGCCCACCGGGTCTTTTTGTTTTGGAAAGACAACATTATCGACCCCAAGAGCTTCACCTGTCATGTTGTCCATTTCCAGATTACGGTTGCATAAGCTATGGATATATATTGATTGATATATGATGCTATTTTTCAGGTCAAGTATAGTGTCACGCACCAAGTAATTGGTTCAGTTTGTGCCGTAAATTGGTCCGTACGATGTCCGATGGTTTTCCAACAGAAGATTCTTCATCCCCTGTGCCAGTGAGGTCTTCAACAACTTGTTGAATTTGTCTTCCTTGGCTGTAAGCTTCGAAAACTGCCTTGGCGGTCCATTGATCCCTCACCACTTGAAGCCAAGTAGGATCGTTCGATAGCTCCCGGCAAAAACTGCCTGCCCCAGGGAATCGTGTGGCAGTGAGGAGGTAGTAGGTCAAGTTGTAGGCTGTCGATACAGTATAAAGCTGTTTTTCACTGTTCTTCATTAGCCATATGTTAATGTGGAGTTGGACAGGAATATGGCTGACCTCTGAATTGATGCGAGTGATGTGGCGTGACACTTGGTTTTCTATTTCAGATCTATCACCATCTTCAATCGCCCGTTGGAGGACCATGGCTACCTTTTCGTGATTCACGAGTTCGTTATATGTTGTTTCAAAATACGCCTCTTCTTCAGGTGACAGAATTTGGGTAGGTGAGTTATTGTTTGGCTCATCTTCTTCTTCGTCTTCTCCGTCGTACGGAATCGGTATTTTAGAAAAATGTCGGAAAATCCTCGCGTCAAAAACCAATTGGTCTTCAGGTGGCATCGCCTGCCACACTGCACCAAGGTGGCCATTCCGTTCATCCCATCCATGAGCCGAGCCCTTAGGTGGCACTATATGAAAATATGTACGTCAGTGCCTGTAGCTTGGCTTGATGTGTACTGATATGGCAAAACATACTAGGGGTTTCCGCACTCTCTTTGCTGAAGGCAACAAATCGATTCCAATTGCTTTTTTGGCGTGATGGACGATCTTCCCCCCTGCAGGCATTTTGCAAGAGTCAGGGAAATTGGACATTATATGTGTGAAAGAAATGGCTTACTGAAATGAGTTGACCGTTTGGACTGAGACATTACCGATCAAGGCTAACATCAGCTTGATTTTGTTGTAGTTCATTTTGTGGTATTGCAGGGCCTCTTGGATTTCAGCAGGGATGCAATTGCTTTGGCCCGTTTGTCGTCCCAGGACTTCTCGTAGTTGCCTTTCGGTCCAGAGGTCAAGGCGGCTTTCATAATTCTCCAGGGTCAGTTCATCACAAGGGTCAGAACCGTTACTTGAAGGGCTTGCATTCTCTTCACGGCCATTATCCCATGGAGTATCCTCTCGTAGGTTTTTTCCTGCACTTTCGGAGTCAGACCCGCTGTCAGAATTGCCTGCCCACCCCTGCTGGGCAGCACTGCCAAAGGCACTGGCCCTTCTGGAGCCTCCGCGTCCAGGACTGGCACCTCGTCCTCCACGACTGGCTCGGCCTCCACGACCAGCTCGACCTCCGCGACCAGCTCGACCTCCATGACTAGCTCCACCTCCTCGACCTGCCGGACTCGCTCCACCAGGTTGACCACCTCGACCAGCTTGACCGCCTCGACCGGCTTGACCCCCTCGACTAGGTCGACCTTGTCGACGAGCTCCAACACCTTGCGCCCCACGTGGGCCTAGGCCAGCTTGGGTGGATGATTGGGTAAGGCCGGTGGCTCGGTTGGTTTCTGATGAGCGGCTTCTGGTTTGGTGACCGGTATGTTGAGAAGTTCGGGTTTCTACCATTTTGTTTGATTGCTAAGTTTGTGATATATATAAAAGGATACTAATGTTTATGTTTGTACTTGTGCTCAAGTGCGAGTGGAAAATGTGATTGTGTAAATAAGGTGGGTCTTGGTCTATGAGATCAACTGGGCGGATTATTAGACAAGTGTCAGGGCCTTTGCCTGAGCAGTGACCAAAGCGAGGTAGGTGAACAGTTATTGAATTGGAAGTCATGGATGCAGCTGACAGGTACATATACACATGTGTATCCTACTATATTGGCATTGCCATGCACGCCAACGATCTGCATTGTGAGCTAGTCTGTAATATGAAATGTCTTTGAAATACAATGGCTGCATGCAGTGGAGAGGTATTCAATTGGATTGCCTATGATCCTGAAATTCAGATGAAATATAACCAGCCGTATACTGAGGCAGTTTAGTTGAAATGCAGGATCAGTTTCATCTTCTAGTGTAAGCATGACCTCACTGCACCGTAAACGTCCTTCCATTCATGGAAGGGTGATGGGCAATTACATACCATTGTTATGAGGTGCATAAGAGGTTTTGGTCCTTGCAGGCACATACTGGATCACACTTGGCAAGATCACCGGGGCAAGATTCCCATGAGATGTGACAAAAGCATCTGATTTGTAATTGGTATGCAACTGTACATAAGGTACAGTTGGCATTGACATGGAAATGCAAACACCAAACCTTAATATTGCAATAGAGAGATTGAGCAAAGCACACAATTAGCCTGTTAGGGCTTCTCTCGTGCGGACACACAAGTTTTTGATTTTGGGCAAAAAAACCTTACCCTGCCACAATGGTTATGGAGGGGATTTGTGGCTGTGGTGGGAATGACCGCATATGATGTCTGATTTGAACATGAAAAAGGAGTTCTGATGGCCCAAAATAATACACACAATTAAGGAAGGATTATGGCAGGGTAGTGTATGTTTTTGAGTCCTATATGAGTTTTAGAATCCAACATTGTAAACCATTGTTGTGTATGATGGAAATTTTCAATGTTTGAAAATTTCAAACACACAATTGGGAACACATACCAGGATAGGCTATGCCATGGCCTCATCTATGGTCTTATGGGCACCTCTCATGCAATTTCACATTCATCTATGCGTGATGGAACTTGTAGAGGAATGCAGAATAAAGGCCATTGTCACCATTGAGTGTATTCACTAGGGTCAACAAAATCATCCTACTTCAGGGCATGCCAAAGTACAGTCACATTCACATTATATAATATTCCTAATTCAGGACAAGCCAAACACACTCCTGAACGTCAGGACAATGTGATTCCATCAAGTGCCCCATGGCCAATACACCAGCATGAATTTACATATGGTTTACGTACAATCCTTAAGTGAAGATGTTGTGTTTGTATCATATTGTTTAAAATGTTCACGGCCACAGTGATGTGGTGTTTGTAGTATATTGTTTAAAATGGTCACGGCCACAGTGACTTCTCCATTCACCCATGTATATCAGATTGACGGCTTACAAAATGTGAGCCCTATTGTGTTTTAATTATTGGGCAGATATTCTTGCATCAAAGATGGGTTTCTTATGAAATCATCCTAAGTATGAAGATAAATTACAAAGATGAGAACACTTATCCAGGTCACTTAACTGATCCTTTAACAGATTCATAAACATTCATTGTTTGTGCTCCTCTTGGTGGTCACTCAATCTGCATAATGCAACTCCAATCCATCTGGCCATGCTTGTGGTTTGTATGAACCACGCAAGACACTAATTCAGAAGGGTAAATTTTGATGGTTTTTTGTCTTGATACAAGTGTGACATGGACTGCAGAAGTAGGAAAATTGCTTCTATTGACAGATTCAAAGGATCTTAGGATGAAATCTATTTCATTGATGTATTATAATCAATAAAATCATGGGTAATTGCTAATCAAACAACTCCTTTTAGTTCATGGTTTATGGTAGATCAAAGCATAACTAATTGATGTCCCCAAAGACCATGAAATTCTTAAGGGTAAGAGTAGGGCTTCTTGTTATTGTTCCAAGGATGCACAAACTATTTCACCTAATAATATCATTGGACATTGGCAATTTCCCAAGGGAGCACATATACTTACCCTCAAGGTGCTGAGATACCTGTCACTTCTCATTTCACAGTGGATGCTTCTTTCTGATTTCACTTCTCTCATGTCACACTATGTGACATTCACCTGTTTTCCTTTCAGTTCATATACTGGATTGAGTTGTGTTTGGGAGGACTTCCTTTCCTCATCCTTTCCAACACTTCTGTCTGGAAGTTTGTGAAAATTGTGCACAAAGGTGAAGGCCTTTTTGGGAGAGGTTCACGGAAAAAGAGTGGCAGAACCAATGATTTACTTTCACAAGTGGATAGCTGGATTAAATAGGATAAATACATGTGATCAAACTGTGGTTGAGGCAAATTTGATTAAATAGGATAGAGTCAACTCTGCTGTAACCCACACTCTTATTCACCCAGACTCTCCAATAAGCCATAGTAAAATGGTCCACCAAATCATTAATTTCAGTTTAAAACCCTCTTCAATAATCCATATTCTCTACTAAACCATAGCAATTTGTGTCCACCAAGGGGCATGGGTTAATACAGAGTTGACTGTAAATACATGAGATCAAACTGTGGTTGAGGCAAATTCACTAAGTCACACCTTTTGAATAAAAACTAAGAGATAGAATCTAGGAAGAATCTATCTTAGGCAGACTCCTCAGTCTCTTTTATTCAGACAAGGACAGCTAAACAAGAAAAATCAGAAATTCTATCAAAAATACTTGAAGGTGTTAATTCCAAAGAAATAATCAATTTTTAGTAATCAAATAAATAGTGAAATAGAAAATCAAGAACTCATCCATCCAACATCCTCAAATCAATGCAATCAGCTGATGCTTAGGATAAACTTTCAAAATCAGCTCATGTATCATCTCTCACTAAGCAAATGATAAGATGAGGCCATATGAAGCTCTAACTGACCAACATTGCAAGAAAGAGCCAGGTAGCTGTAGGTATTTGACATGTGATATTACAAATGCACCTTTGCAATATGACCTGTACAATACCCAAAGTGCTTTGTGGCCTCTTCTGGCAGTGCAAGCTGCCTGAAGAAACCAATTTGAATATCACATGTCAAATGCCCCGTCACCTGGCTTTTTTCAGGTAGCTGTGGAGATTTGACATGTGATATTACAAGTGCACCTTTGCTGACCTGTGAAATACCCACAGTGGTGCCTGGCCTTTTCTGGCAGTGCAACCGGCCTGAAGAAACCAATTTGAATATCACATGTCAAATAGCCCGTCACCTGGGTTTTTCTGTGCAAGTAGCCTGAAGAACCCCAGGAGGCAGAAGACATTTGGACTCCCAATGGAATATTCCAGTGCCAAGCCAGAATACATGGCTCATAATCTCCTCTATTGGCTCACATTCTCTATTACCAGGCAGATGGAGCACAGAGATAAACATAAACATTTCCCTTAAATGCAAGTCAACATGTGAGCCACACATTATGTATTATTGGTCAGAATGCTGTTTATTGACCAAAGACTTCCTGTTGTAAGGAATTATCCAATAAATCAGGCAGACAAGAGTTATATTTCAGATAACTTGGGTTATGAGCATTATTACCAGTCAAGTTGACACAGAACATTATATGAGGAAGGAAAAAAATCATATAATCAGATGAGACACAAGAAGTGATCAATGACAAATCATGGCATGGGCAATAATAGGCTTCAGCCACTCAAATATGTTATAAAATACTTCAACCTTGGACAACAATGGAGTTCAACAACAAATCAATCATGTTTTAGCCTTTTGTTAACAAGAATTCCACATCTCCAAAATGCATATCAGTTTTCTCCTCAAAATCTTCATGAACCACTCGATCAGCCACTCTAGTTACTTTGGCAGCAATTTGCATAGACATACCAAGCCTAGCAAATGGGCTACGTCCTCGAGGGGGGAGAGTCCCGTGAATATACTCTCTTTGTCGAAAGGTGGCCAGGCACATCATATCCGGCTGAAACTTGATACCAAAGCCGCATTCAGGGAAAATAAAGTGCCCATCCTTGACGTCGTAACCGTCTGCCTTGAAGGCAAGGTTTCCGGTCCTTTTACAGGTAGGGATTGATAGAAGAAAAGCAAAAGGTAGGGATGGTTCATCTTTGTCGTCAACGTGAGGATGGTTGTAAAAGCCGTTTGTCGTAAAAGTCAGGTTGGAGGAAAAGAATGAATCGGGGGAAGAAGGATGTTTCGTGGAAAACGCTGGTTGAAAAAAGGCTGGGATGCAGTGTTCGGTCATGAAATCTTGATTATGTTGGAGGGCGACATTTGCGATTGGATGAAATAAGTACCAGAGGATCTGGCCGGCTCGGGTTGAGTCCTTGACGTGTTCTGCATATGCTTCAGGATTCTTGTCAATTGCCTTCTGATTTCGATAAATCCCCAAGATTTCCAACTTAGCCATGGATTTCCTCCATCCAATGGCAAACATCACGCCACCACAAGACCTGCCTGTTGACATCACCGGATTCACAAATTGCTTGGCTTTGTGAAGAAATAAGCACAAGAATTGTATATCATCTTTGGTTGATTCACTGATTTTGTTGAGATCAATAAAGTGAATGTCTGCGATCAGTCGGTCGTTTTGAGTAGCATCAAAGGCGCGTACATGGCCGTGGTCGTATAGCTTGAACTTTGAAGGGTCATGCACATAGCGATAGGCGTCCTCTATTTCTTTGGGTGTTGGGTTGCGCTTGTAAATTGTTTTGGTCGAGGGCTTTGGTCCACCACACCACTTGAACCTCTCGTTTGCAACAGCCCTTGCGTCCTTCTTTTGTTGATACTCTGCCGTAATAGCAGGAAAAAGGTCAATCGGAACAGGAGATCTGGAAGTTATACACATTTTTCCGGGCACCCAGTATGTGGTGAGAAGGGATTGAATCCCATGCTGTTTCTTCTTGGCCCTCCTGGCTGGTCGCTTCCTTTGGGATCTTTGATGCTGATAAGCTTTCATGGATCTACACGTAAACCGGATGATTTGCCAGCAAATAGTACGGCAATTCATACACAGTTTAGGTGTATGATTTCAATCCAGCATCACAACAATCAAACCCAGGTGTAGCAATCAGGAAGGAAGGAACCAGTGAAGATAAAATATAATATTTTCAAAACAAAGTCAGAAAATCATGAATATTAGAATAATAGTCAGGTACATACAATCGGATCCTTTTTTTCTTAGTACTCTTTGCAGAAGTTGAAGCCACTCCATCTGGCTTCGTTCGAGGTGTAAGGTTGGGCTTATTGATTATTGGTTCAATATCAGAGTCTGATATTGATTCGTCACTCGAGTTGCCTGATACATTATCGTCTAAGTTGGAACTCAGATTAGAGGTTTGTAACATTTGTTGCATTGCAAGGAAATTAGCTCACTGTTGATCAAAGGCCCATTTTCAGTTTGCGACTGCAAACTTAAGGTAGATAAGGTGGACTCCAGGTCTGTTAGACTCGACTCCAGTTCGGATAGACTCGACTCCTCCAGTTCTGACAAGCTTGAACCACTCAGGCTTGGAGGCATGCTGAGCTTAGTTGTAAGACCTCCTTCCGGCAGAATATATATCGATCAGGAGCGATGAAGGTGACAAGCCCGAAGGGATGATGCTATTTGATCAGGAGCAAATCAGCCGATGCGCTCAAAGTGTTGATGTCGTTTGATCCGGACTGATCGAGGTGATACACCCAAAGTGACCAAGCTGTCCTATCAGGAGTGATCAAGGCGAGGATGTTGATGAAGAAGAAAGAGATGAAGTGGTAGCGATCAGGAGTGATCGTGGTGATGATGTAGTTGAAGAAGAAAGAGATGATGTAGAGATCCGGATCGATCGAGTCGATTCTGAAGTTGAGATCGGGATCAAACAAGCTGATCACACTGTAGAGAATGGGATCTTTCAAGCGGAGGTGATACACCCAAAGTGAGAATACTGTTTGATTGGGAGTGATCCAGGTGAAGATGTTGATGAAGAAGAAAGTGATGAAGTTGTATCGTAGGCGAATCGGTGTTCTAAAGATAGCAAGCGACGGGATTGCTGTCGTTTCAGGCGATTCAACCGAACAGCAGCTGAAGAAGGAATCAGAGCTCGGTCCAATAAGCAAACGAGTCTGCGGTATTTAAAGCAATCGATTTATGGATGTGGGAGGCTTACAGGTCAGAGGTCCTCGCGATTGATTTAATCAAGCAGTTGACGGATGAAGAGGAAAGTGATGAAGTTGTATCGCAGGCGAATCGGTGTTCTAAAGATAGCAAGCGACCCGATTGCTGTCGTTTCAGGCGATTCAACCGAACAGCAGCTGAAGAAGGAATCAGAGCTCGGTCCGATCAGCAAATGAGTCTGCGGTATTTAAAGCAATGGATTTACGGATGTGGGAGGCTTACAGGTCAGAGGTCCTCGCAATCGTTTTAATCAGACAGTTGACGGATGAAGAGGAAAGTGATGAAGCTGTATCGCAGGCGAATTGGTGTTCTAAAGATAGCAAGCGACCCGATTGCTGTCGTTTCAGGCAATTCAACCAAACAGCAGCTGAAGAAGGAATCAGAGCTCGGTCCGATAAGCAAACGAGTCTGTGGTCTTTTATTCAATGAAATTCCCGCTGTGGGAGGCTTACAGATTAGACGTCCTAGTGATGTTTTAATCGGAGAGTTCAGGTGTAGAATCGATTGGAATGACCGATCCCAAACAATTCGATAGATCAGATTAAATTCTAGTCACGCTTCGTTTGGAGCGATTCCACCAAACAGCAGCTGAAGATCAAATTGAATCGCAGCAGAACAAAGGTCGGTCCGATAAGCGAACGATTCAGAGGTGTTTTATTCAATCCGATTTCCGGTGTGAGAGGCTTACAGATTAGATGTCCTAGCAATGGTTTTAATCGGAGAGTCAGCAAAGGTGTAGAGTCGAATGGAATGAGCGATCCCGGACAATTCGATAGATCTGATTGAATTCTAATCACGCTTCATTTGGAGCGATTCCACCAAACAGCAGCTGAAGCTTCAATTGAATCACAGCAGAACAAACCTCGGTCCAATAAGCAAACAATTATTATTCAAATGAATAAGTAATGTGGGGGGCCTAGAGATCTGAAGTCCTAGCAAACAATAGAAGCAAATCAATCGGACAACGGCTGAAGAAGGCGTAGAGAGTCAGCAGTTGAACTAGGAGGATGTAGAATAAAAAACTAGGACAAGATGTAGAGATCAAACCTAATCGAAGAGGAACCTGAGACTGTGTTCCAATTGAGTAAGAGCAGATTTCGAGTCGTGATGAATGAAGGAGGTGGTATCAGGCGTCTAGAGGAGTCTTGAGGAAGGAAGCGAAGTAGCAGTAGCAATTTGATTGCAGCTGCCAAGTCCAGACTTGCTTTGACGGGTCAAATGGCATGAGATGAGGCCCCCTGGCACTCAGCTCAAGCCCCCCCCCCCACCGGGCATTTGGACACTGGCTGCTGGCAGGTGAGGAAGTGAAACTCAACCAAAGTCCCAGCGCCCTGTACTCCCGACCGCCCAAAACATATCGGCCATAACTATCACTTCTCCAGACACATTTTCAAGTAAGTCAATCTTTCTCTACTTTCTCATTTCATAAGGAATCAATCCACTTACACACAGCAAGAGACCACTGACTGACTTAAAATCTTTCAAACAGGGAATCCATCTACGTGTTGTCCAGGGAGGACCGAACCCTCGTCAAATCTATACCTCTGCACACAGGGTACTACCAACTGACCACCCCCACCACCACCCTGCATACTGTATGTATATGTTACTCACCTGTATCATTATTTCAAGATTGATGAATCCAAGACCTGACTTAAAATCTTTTGATTGTCCAGGGAGGACCGAACCCTTGTCAAATCTATACCTCTGCACACACGGTACTACCAACTGACCACCCCCACCGTCACCCTGCACACTGTATTTATATGTTTCTCACATGTATTTGGATTTCAAGATTGGTTAATCCAACACTTGACTTAAAATCTTTTGATTAGGGAATTCGTCTACTACCGCCAAGGAGGACCCTCGTCATATCTATCATTCTGCACACCCTGTACTCAACTGACCTCCCCCACCAACACTCTGCACATTGTATATATATGTTTCTCACTCGTATCATGACTTCATTATTGATTAATCCAAGACAACAAGTGGCTTTGGCTGATTGATATCATTAATCCAATGCACAGGGAAAATACTTCTTGTCAGTCTACGTGCAGTCCTGGGACCCCTCTTCTATCCATCCCAAAAGTAGTATTGCAATGCATACTGAATTCAATCATCTTTTCAGTTACCACATTGCCCAGAACCCCTGACGTGAAATATCTAAAATAATTGCCTGCTGGAAATAGGCCCGTGAGTAATCGAATGTCCATTATGACAAAAATCATACCAAATCTCCATGATAAACATAACCCTTTGTGCACAGGCCCAAAAATGAGAGGTTACGAGGGGGAAGGAGGAAAGTCCAAGCGCAGGCGTAAAAAGCCAAAGACATTGAAGGGTCAGGCTGTGTCCCAAGAAACCGAGCGAGCAAGTCAACAATTCATCGAATCCATGCAGTCCCAGCCGAATCAACCCAATTCCTCTCAACTATCCCGAGAACCCTATTTCACTGGACCCCTCAATAATGAAAATCACGAACAATCAGTAGGAAGAATAACCCCAGACCCAGTTGACCCTCAAGTAGAATCATTATCCCAGTATTTTCAAAACCAACATCACGAACACAGACACGTCCTTGAAGAGCAACAATGGGCAGACGTATATGGACCAATGTTCTCCTCCTTTTACGATTGTGCAGCAAAAACGGCCAACTGGGGTGATATCGAAAAATGGAACAGTGATTGGAAACCAACATGTGGCTGTATCCCAACCCGGAAAAGGCCTGTGGTGCTCGTGGATATCCTCAGTTAAGCACTCCTCTTCATGATAGATTTTATTTATGTGCATGCGCTAATATGACCTTGAGATATTTCAGGCCGTAAAGAGGAGCGCATTGACTTCTGCCCCTGCCAGACGGACCAAGTCAGGCTGATCCAGATGGGGTACATCGGTGCGACCCCCAAATTCCCAAAGACAGCATTTTCGATCCGACTGCTTCAATTACATCACATACTATGGAAACATTGTACTATCGCCATGCTACCCTTCTCAAAAGCTCTTGATGAATTTCTGGATATCAATAATCCCCTAATCTTGGTTCCACACGGTGAAGATGACTTAGAGGAATCAGTCAGTGTAAGTATTTAATGTTACAGTCCTATTTAATTAAAGACTATTATTTCTGAATAGTCTTTGGAAATGTTTCAGACTCGTCATTGGAGGAAGCAGTTAAGTAAAGCAGTTGATGCATTCCGTGAAATGCTTAAAAGAGAGAAGGAATTAGTGGCCCAGGTGATGAAATTGGAACCATTAGGTGAACTAGCTGAAATTTGCCCCAAATGTTATGGACCACAAGTTGATGGTAAAAGAGAAGGAGAACCAGATTACATCTTATGTATGGATGGAAATTTCCAACATCGAAGACACCTCAAAGCAAGTGTTGAGCACTCCGAAAATATCAAAACTCCCAGCCTTTTTGTCCAGCCATGTGAAGTATCTGAGATGGAAGAATCACTTGCACAATTACAACAACCCTCCCGAACAATAGAAGGTAGTGTGAGTTAAAATATTTAAGACTATCAAAAACAATTACAACTAAGAGTGACATCAAGATTAATTTATACACAACCATGTAGGACAGGTGCACCGAGCAGCACACAGCGGCCAATGACACAAGAAATGGAACCACTTGGAAGCATTGTGATGATACTGGACTATTTGGGATGGCTTGCCGGCATGATCAGATGATCAGGATGATCAACATTGTCAAGAGTGGTGAGAAGTATGTATTTTCATTGACCTTAATCAACAAAGCCCATAAATAAGGCCTTTTACAATTATATCGTATGTTTTGTCAGATCCTACTTCCCTTTAACCATGATTAACCACATGGTAGAGGTCACCAAAGAAGACAGCGGAGGGCGCAAGAAGCTAGCATTCCTGTATGATATAGGATGCAACATTGAGAAAGGAATTATCCGAGTCTGTAACTGTTTTTTATCTTATCCAGTCCCAGGGTATTTAATTCAACACTGATTCAGGTGTCTATTATCCAAAATCCAGCGTAATCAATTTCCATACGAGATGGCTCATAACCTGCTCCGGTTTGGCACAAGTGTGTTCCATGCATATGTGCATGAGTGGACCTGCCAGCTCCGATACAATCCAAGATTGAATCACGGGTGGGGAATGTCAGATGGCGAGGGAATGGAGCGTCTGTGGTCCCATTTGTCACCATTAATCAGCCAACTCCGTTACTCAACGAAGAAGCACCGACTTTCTGCAATTGATCTACAAGTGAATCATCATAATGAAAATGGAAGAAAATCAGCATGTGGGTTTTTTTTGTGTCCAAAATATTTTAAACAAAGCTGAGTCTTCCTTGTTCAGTTCGTTTGCTTTTAGAAAGAGGGAAGCAAATTGAAGGAATTTTGAAAGAATCCCAGCAAACCCTGTTACAAGTGGAGAGGTCATCTGGTCACACATTGTCGTATTTGAAGGACCAATGGAATCGACAGAGGCAAATGCAACTGGAGGCAATGGAAAACGATACTGAATTGCAAATGAAAAAACAAGTAGAAGAGCTTGTCATGTTGGAGGACCAACTCCGAGCAACACAGTCAGTTCATTTATTGATTTTTGTATTGCCCATAACTAATAAACTGTTAACTAGACAGGAAATGGTTGAACTCGGAAGAACAAGGCGCAGGAATCGTACGGAAGCTCAGACCTTGCAGATGGAACAAGCTCCTGATCATCTACATGTGTTAGAATCAGAGATAGAAAATATCATTCATGAGCTGGGTTTGGAATATTTCCGCAATCTTCCTGGCAATTCTGGTCAATCATCATATTACTTTCTTCTCAATAAAATAAAACCAAAATAGAAAAGACTGAGGAGACTTGACTACTTGCACAGGTGAACAAACTAAGTTGTTGGTAAAATTGAAAATCAGCAAGTCAAAGCTATATGAGGCCAAGGTTGGAGTGATTGAGCTTCAAAAAAAATGGTATGAACGTGGATCAGGCAAGTAAATGCATAACTTTAACATGCATGTGGCCCTCCTCTTATAAATTTTCCCTACGAAAAATAGGCACCCGGATACAGGCACAGTTCAAGAAGCAAATGAATTCCAAAATGAAGCTTCTGAAGAACAAATGGATCTCGTACAATCACCGAGCAATCAATTATAATGCAACCTATACACCCAATCCTTATTTACCAACCCCAACATTCGATGAAGTCCAGTCATTTCAAATCAACAATTCATTCTGGAACATTGGCTTGCTGGATCATCCAAATGAACCCTGGGCGATTGACGTGGAAACACAGAAGGGTATTACGGCATATCTCACAATAACCAACTGTGAAGATGAATTGCGCCGCATATCACGGGAAGCAAGGCAGGCTTTAAATTGGGCTGTCAATATGGCAGCCAAGGTGGAGAACATTTTGGAGGCATTGCTCATGGGTGTGTATAATTTTAGAAAAATATTTAAGTGGATTTATAATCTGATTGAAAATTTTTGGCCTCTACATAGATGTGCAAGAGACCGATGTTCTAACCAAAACTCAGCAGAATTTACAGGATATTTGCAGAGCCAAAAATCTCCCCAAGTCAGTTATGGAATCGGTGATTTCTAATACGGCAAAGAAGTTCTGTAGGCTATGGATAATGTGGAACTCTAGCTGTAATAAGGTCTTACTGTGGAGTCAGCAGTGGATTGATGAACCAGGTGAAGACATTGAGCTGAGAGAAAAATGGGACAATGTCATTGTGAAGAATAGGACATTGTGGGAAAAACTACGTGGAGAGGCAGTGATAGAAGAAGATGAAAACGACGAAGAAGAAGAAGATCAGGATGAAGAGCAATCAGTTTTTTTGCATGAAATTGATGATTATTTAGATTTATAGTCATTTTAATATTACTTTGATGTGATAAAGTTGAATTTGTAAAATGATAAATAAATACACTGCGCCTTCTCACCTCTTCACTGGCAAAAAACCATAAATGATTAAGCCTATGTGTATAAATTATTGGGCTTATTGATTGATATTATTATTATAACATATAATACACATACCTTTATAACTTGGCCAACAACTGCAGGAGCAGACAGAGGTAGCTGACAGAGCTGGGTCCATAGAGCTGGCCTGACTGACTGGGCCAACTGAGCTGACTAACTGACCCGACTGAGCTGGGCCCCAGAGCTGACTGAGCTGGGTCCCAGAGCTGACTGAGCTGGCTGAGCTGGGTCCCAGAGCTGACTGAGCTCCAAGAGGTGACAGAGCTGGGTCCAAGAGGGGACTGAGCTGGCTTGGAGAGCTGAGGGAGCTGGCTGAAAGAGCTGACTGAGCTGGATGAGCTGGGTCCCAGAGCTGACTGAGCTGGGGGGCAAGAGCCGGCCGACTGGCTTGGGGAGTTGACAGGGTTGACAGAGCTGAGTGAGCAACTGAGCTGGAAGAGCTGGGTCCAAGAGATGACTGAAGTGAGCTGGTTCAATGAGCTGACTGAGGTGGGTCCGAGGGCCGGGTAAGCTGAGTGAGCTGGATCCAAGAGCTGGATGAGCTGAGTCTGCTGGGTTTGAGAGCTGGCTGAGGTGAGTGAGCTGGTTCTGAGGGTTACTGAGTGAGCTGATTCTGAGAGCTGGATGAGCTGAGTCTGCTGGGTTTGAGAGCTGGCTGAGTTGAGTGAGCTGATTCTGAGAGCTGGATGAGCTGAGTCTGCTGGGTTTGAGAGCTGGCTGAGTTGAGTGAGCTGATTCTGAGAGCTGGATGAGCTGGTTCTGAGAGCTGGATGAGCTGGGTGAGCTGGGTCTGAGAGCGGAGTGAGGTGTGTGAGCTGGGTCGGAGAGACGGATGAGCTGATTGAGCTGAGTGAGCTGGGTCCAAGAGCTGGATTAGCTGAGTGAGCTGAGTCTGAGAGCTGGATGAGCTGAATTGGAGGGGTCCGAGAGCTGAGTTCCAAGAGCTGAGTGAGCTGAGTGAGCTGAGTCCAAGATCTGGATGAGCTGAGTGAACTGAGTCCGGTGAGCTGGGTCCAAGAGCTGGATGAGCTGAGTGAGCTGGATGAGCTGGGTCCAAGAGCTGGCTGAGCTAGGTCCGAGATCTGGATGAGCTGGATGAGCTGGCTGAGCTGAGTCAACTGAGTCCGAGAGCTGGATGAGCTGAGTGAGCTGGAGCGGAGAGCTGGATGAGCTGGGTCCAAGAGCTGAGTGAGCTGGGTCCGAGAGCCGGGTGAGCTGGGTGAGCTGTGTCCAAGAGCTGGACGAGCTGGGTGACCTGGGTCCGAGAGCGGAGGGATCTGGTTTGGAGAGCTGGATGAGCTGAATCCAAGAGCTGGAAGAGCTGGGTTGAAGAGCTGAGTGAGCTGGGTTCAAGAGCTGACTGGAGCTGACTGAGCTGGATAAGCTGGGTCCAAGAGCTGACTGAGCTGGCTGAGCTGGAAAAACTCGGCGAGCTCAGCTCCAGCCTTCTTCCATTCCAAATGGATGATGTGTGCATGAATTTGTTCCATTTGGGATGGAAGAATTTTGCAGCCAAACCTCATATTAAGACCTAGGAAACAAATTTAAAATTTTGAAAAAACATAAAAAAATAAGGTAAAAAAATTAATACAAAAAAAAACGTGTCCAAACGCGGAATCCGTGTGTGCTCTGTGCAGCAAAAACTGTATCAAAACATGTGAAAACTATGTTTTTTATTAAGGCCCTATAAAATTGTTTGATTTTTTTTTTCTTTTCACATGCCCCTTTTTATTCTTTTAATGCAAAAATTAAGACTTTCAAAAGGATAATCAAAATATGGTTGGAAAAAACTTTGAAAAATGATTTGGGAGTATTCCTGTGGGAAAGTTGTGGCACAAAGAAGATTGATAAATTGCTTGGATTTTTCTCTTTCCAAAAAGCCTATTTGTATAATTTTAGCACAAGGTCTGGCTAATTACCCCCTTTGACCACAGTTGACCTCATACCACCCAAAATTTCACCCTTGCTATACTATATGGGGAGGCATGAAGGCCCCCCATATAAATTAAATATTGCATGATGAATTCCATAAAAGGCAACATACTTATATCTTGTTAAAGTATTGTTGAACCCATATCATATCAAGATATACAGTCCTTTCATAGAATATGTATGGAGGTACTGAACAGCCATTTTGGCCAAAAAAAAAATGAAAACATGGGGATGAACCGCCAATTTGGCCAAACAAGCACCAAATGACGCCCCTGAACCACCAGAATGGCCAAATTGAAAATTGAATCCAACCACCAAATTGGCCACCCATGCTCTTGAGCTGCCATCATTGCCCCTGAGCCGCCATGCATGGCACTGATCCGCCAAATTAGCCATCAAATTTGAAAAAGCTTGAATACAGCCTGAAAATCATACAGAGCATGGTGCACTACAGAAGCCACATTCCCCACCTGTATCCAAAATGTAAACCCATACATAGATTCTGTTCAATAGTGTTACCCTTTACCTGTTACACATTAGGACAAAACAAACTGTGCAAAGTCCTTAAAACATCCAGATAACAATCCAGCCCTTCTTACAGCTTCCAGAAAATCCAGTTCTGTCCTCCCAACATCCAGACAGCCCAGTCCGTTCCATTTCTAGATCAAGAGTAAGCAGTAGAATCTCATACTTATGCACCCTTAATAGCCAAACACAACTAACATAAAAAAAGATGTACTGTTTCCAGTGTGGAAAATCACCCGTGGTTTACCGTTGTGGTGAGACCAATCAAGGTCATACATAGTACAAAATAGCTATTTACAGTAGTTTTTATGTTATTACAACCAGATATGCATATGCTACATAACTCTTTATCTTGTATCCAGTTCAGAAGGTTACAAAATAGTATTTTTACACATAGTTTGGTGTCTTGAGATAGTTCTTAACCACTACACTAGGCTGCTTGTACTTATATCTTCACATTTTAGACACATGGGCTATTGTCTCAGTGTCTGACATTTGCCCCCGCTAAAAAAATTAATCTACGAGGAATTTTTTAACCTCTTAGAAACCCTAAACTGTCTTAAAAAAACTGGATAATTTTTTATTTTATCAACCTCTAACCACATGTCTTGGTCAGGTTGACAATTCTTAAACCTAACTAGATAAAGCTTACAATCTTTACTCTGTCTCCTAACAATTTTTTCACCTAAAATTTTGTAAGGTATCTTGTCTGACACTGCCAGCCTATCACCCTGGGTGATGTCCAGCCCAGCTAGGCTTGGTGGTCAGGATGTAAACGGGTCGGGTTTGGGCCCAAAAACAGTGCCCAAACCCGACCCGACACTTATGTCGGGTTGGGTCAGGTTGGGTCAAACTTGAATATATGCTGCCCAGACCCGAACCCGTCTTGGGACTTTTCGGGTTCAGGTCAGCAGTTTGCATGTCGGGTTCGGGCCGACCCGAGTATTTTAGCCTTTGTAGAGCAATTATGACAAAAACTTACCTGCCCGACTATCAAAACACCTGCCCAAACCCGACCCGCTAAGCTTCCGGGTCGGGTTTGGGTCATGTGATTTTCTCACAAAGTCTGCCCAAACCTGACCCATGACCCGCTGGGTCTCGGGTTGGCTTCGGGTCAACCCGACCCATTTACACCCTGACTTGGTGGGGTGCAACCAATTTAAATTGGTTGAGCCCAACCCAATGTAATTGCTAACCAATGCAAACTCGGGTGACAATGGCCCGACGGATTCAGTATCTGACTCAAGCTTGCCCACATGATATCCGAGGCAACATCAGGGTCATATCCCACCGATGAAATCAAATCATCGGTTACAAATCACCCGAGGCAAACTCGGGGAGTGTCAACCGAGGAATTAATGGTTGGTTGAAAATTCAACCAAGCATTCTTATCCTTGGCGCGGACCAACCGATGGAATCCACCGTCGGTTTCTTATCCTCAGCGCGGACCAACCGATGGAATCCACCGTCGGTTGGTCACCCACCAAGGAAAATCAACCTCAGTTGGTCACCCACCAAGTAAAATCAATCTCGGTGGGTAGCACACCGATGAATTTGAAATCATCGGGTGTTTGGGGAAATCACATTCATATGTACCAAATGAAAGAGAAAGAAATGATAAAAAGGAAAAAAAAACAAAAGCAGTGAAGGATGACACTGATGAAGAAGGAAAATCTTCAAGTGCCAAATATAGTAAGGAATAAAAATCACAGGTCGTTTTCCACGTTATTCAGTCGGAATCCAAGGCTCGCAGCTTCAATGATAATTCTAAATTCTAGATGAGTGAGAAATGTGTTATTAACAATCCACCGTAGAATGCTGGGCCGGACGGCTGTTCAGCAAGGCGTCAAGCGCAATTCCGTACACTCCGACATCACCCAGTATTCCACTAAATCAAAAAGATTTTGAAACTTCATGAGTAAAATCGAAGTAAGAAAAGGAAGTCATTGATGCTCACAGATGATCTACGTCAAAGGACAAGGGACATATCTTTTGAAGGACTATGTTGGAAACCAGTGATCGATTGGTGTTGAAAATCTGACCAACTAGCTTTGATTGTCGATTGAATGCGAGTCTTGAATTTCCAAAACAAGATGGACATCAGCTCAGTCAACTTGCGTAATTGAGAAATAATGATGACCAAATCCAGACATTTGATTGCTTCTAACCTGTACCCAAGTGACCTCATTGTCTATCTGACCGAGATGGTTTTTGATTGATTTCGAGCTGGTATTGAGAGATGAGTCAACCAGGGAATCAAGAAAACCGGTCATCTTGTTTTGTGGATCCGAGGCGGCCAGGACGGACATGATGTTGCTGTTTCTAGATGGTCTTGAGGTCTTGAAATGGGTTGGTTGTTTGTATTGAACTGTTGTCTTGTTGACTGTCTTTGTGGCTGTTTGTCCGCAACTTTTTGGTGTTTTCCTTTGATGGATGCTCTGGAAGGGGAGCGCACCTGGGGCCCCCGGAGGGCAATGTCACTTGCATCGGTGTCCTCTGCCAAAACAAAGCGGCGACCCTTTGCTCATTCGCTCAAGTTCGGTTTGGTTGCTCAGAGATAGACTCACAACGGAAAGACCAGGTACAACCTTGCATTGGAAAAACCACCCCTACCGCACGTTTGACAAGACTCAATCACTCAAGAAGTAGCTCACAGTTTCCAGTCACTTTGTTCCTATCACCAACTGATGCTTTATGTTTCTTTTTCTTTTCTGTAACAGAATTGACGGCAGCTATGAAATTCAGCAAGGCTACACAGAACAAGTACCTATCTGGCCGCACGAGAAGCCAACAAAGATGCAAAGCAAAAAAACAAGAAGTTTGACCAATCAAGCGACAAGCCAGAAATGTAGAACACACCAACCAGCCACACATCTCCCAGCACAACCCAGACAAGCCCATTGTAAAGTTCAAGAACTCCTTTGTATGCTATGGAGACAGTGCTCAAACGAAAATCATCGCCGTTGTCAAGTTCCATCCATTTGAAAGTATGGATCCCGCTCAAAAAGCAGATTACGAGTGACTTTCAACCAACTTAATAGCCCATACCCGATTTCAAAACACCAATCAAAGCAACGGCAACACACTCGGAGGGAAGATGTCCAGTTTGGGGTGGCGGAAGGGATACAAACATAAAAGCAAATTGGGCATTACAGCAATCGGATCCAAGGTAGCTAAAGACCGATCAGGATTCTTGAAACTTTTCTGGGAGATTCCCTTCATCAACGACTTCCTTGCCTGCCGATTCAGAGACATTTCTGAGAAGATGTATTGTGAGGTTAAGGCCCACCACAACGAATTGAAGGCGCCATCGCTAGCTCCCTTCTTCTTTGCCAACCCAAATTCCTTCTGCTGTCACCTCTCTTTCACATTTGATAACTTCTACAATAAAGCTCATAAGGATTGAGACGAATCACCATACTCTTTTGTGATGTGGATTCCAGCAAACAAAGAAATGGGTAAATTAATTGAAGAAAATCTTCAAGTTCAAGGAGGGGAGTTTGTTTTCCCTGCAGACGGCTGTGCTGTTGATTTTTCTGGCTTCAACGGTGTGGTCAAATGCGCTTGGAACAGCTGTGTCACTATAATCCTTTGGTTAATGACCAAAGATAATTTGTACTTATCCTCACATAAAAGCCGAAAATGTTAGGAGCTGGCTCAGTCAGCTCTAAATGGCCCAATAATTTATCAACACAAGACATGATATTATCCCCAAGTGGCATTCTTAGGTTTATGGAGATGCTTGAACATTTCTAGGCCAGGCAGTACAACTATGTAAACAGGTGTAACCATTTTCAGTCAGTCAGCTTGGACTTCTTGCACTTTCTTGCACCAGCTCACTTAGCTCAGGCAGCTCACTCAGCTCCTCAAACAGTTTGAGAAGCTCACTCAGCTCCTCAAGCAGTTTGAGAAGCTCACTCAGCTCCTCGAGCAGCTTGGGAAGCTCACTCAGCTCCTCAAGCAGCTCGGGCAGCTCATGATTCTAGCTACCAGCTCATTCACCTTGGGCAGCTCACTCAGCTCCAGAAGCTCATTCACCTCGGCAGCTCTTCATTGTAGCTTGAACTTTCACACAACCTCGTCACTCAAGCAGCTCAGGAGGCTTTGTCACAACCAGTAAGCCCCTTCACCCATCCTCTGAAAATCTCACTTTGCTTGAAGACACTCCGATCAGTAAGCCCCTTCACCCATCCACTTAAAATCTCACTTCGCTTCAAGACACAATGTAAATGTCTCTAAAGCAGCAGGACACAATGGCTTTCCTGTATTCATCAGATTTATTTCCCTTTGAGCAGGAGTGTGAAGCCCCGGCTTCCCCATAAGGCATTACGCCTCATAGACCGCTTAAGGTAAATGGCTTTGGCCATAGCTTGTATCCTTCTGACCGCTGTAAGACTCAAAAGTGGTTGTGAAACCCTTGTGCTGAATGGAGCTGCAAGCTCTGCCCTTCTATGCTATCAGAACAACAAGACCACTAAGCTCAGCTTGGCAGTTTATATATTGTGATAGAGGATAGTTTGAGATGAAGCTGTCAAATGATTTGTATAACGGTTCAAGTTGATGGTGATTGTTGTCGATGTTGTGGTTGTTGTTGGTGGAAGTGGTGATGATGATTGTTGTTGAGGTTGAGGCTTGAACGCAGGTCCTCAAGGTTGATGGTATATAAAGTTAAAAAGAGTGATTAAGAACCAAGGCACAGTTGATGGGAGAACTATGCAATGGAACGGAGGACCAGAAACAGGTGGAGTTAAAGGAGTTAAAGTGGAGTTAAAGTGGAGTTAGGATGTCTTGAATGGAAATTGAACCCAGTTCCTCGTGGTTGGAGTGTATGAAGCAAAAAAGCAGTGGATTTCAGGCAAAGTTGAGATAGCTGAGTGGTTATGAAAAAAGTGATGTTGATATTTCTACACTATAAAGAACTGTTATAATATATATAAGGGGGGTTATAATTGTAAAACTTCAATATTAGGTAGCTAATAATAATGATGAGTGACCAGGGATGTAGTGTTATGGGGGGGAGGGACTGACTACAGAGCATCTGATGAGGAGGGAATACAACTGGCAGGCAGAGGCCTCCTTATATAGACAAAAGTGAGGGAACTTAGCTCCAGGGTACATGCAGGTGAGGGAATTTAGCTGGCCTGAATATCCAATGAGGGAATTTAGCTAGTCTAGTACATGCAGGTGAGAGCACAGCCTTGAGGGATTTTGGCTAGCCTACAAGGTCCTACTACAAAGGAATGAGACTGCGAGTCTTTTGAAAGCCGCGTTACCCATCTACACCTTCAAACATGCCACCAATCACCAGTTCTTCACTAAGCGGAAAGCCGGTAATGAAGACGACGATCTGTATAATAACGGTCCAACTGACGCCAACAGTGATGTCGAAATTCACAACAATGACGCAAACAATCAGGAGCCCTACAAGCCACAGAATCCAGACGTCTGCGGCGATGCTTGTTGGCTCCTTACTACGACTAAAAATGGATGTTTTGATGTGCGAACAAAAAACCCCTCGTTGTGGTAACCCATACCTTTCCAAAGCCCCTATTATTTCACTGTATATTCACTTGGTTTTCCTTCATTATTATGACATATTCAGATTCTACACCCAATTTTATATATAGTCACTCACTCAAGCCATATTTCATTTCTTACTGGATTAATAGTTATTTTCATTCTTAGTTTTACAGATATTTTTCTGTACATTTACATTACACAGTAGCTACATATGGTACATATTTACAGATTGCTTCATACATCATATCTTTCTCAAGTACTTTCATTTACAATTATTTGTTCCCATTGCATCAGTCACATTCTTTACAGTAGTTGTTTCTCATTACATATATCAGATATTTTCTCAGATACTTTCTTTACACTCATTATTTCACATGTACCCTTCAGGATAACAGTAGTACACTCTTTCTCAGACCTTCTCCTCTTTGGGTTTGTTCCCCTTTACTCATCCTTGTTTTCTGTTTTCATTTCTCATCTCTTATTTCTACATATGTACATTTCTTTCTCATAACCAGGATTGCCACAGTCTGTTCTCATTTGTATCTTAGAGTATATAAGTAGTCCTTCTTACACTTGTACCCCCCCTAGAGAGAGATACATACAGAGAATACATAACAATACATACACATACAGAGAATAGATAACAATACATACATATACATAGAGAATATAGACAACAGACATACAACAATCTATGCATACTTTGCCAGAAATAATTTAGCCATATTTTCTTTCCCCCTCTTTTGCATATTTTGCCCCTTAGTGACTCCTTGCATACTTTGCACTCATTCCTCAGAAACCTTGCATATTTTGCACATTATCCTTTGACAACTTCTGCATATTTTGCTCACACCCTCTGAACCTTAATCCTCACTCCACAATCCTCCTTCCTCATCACTCCTCATTCACTCAGTGGTATTATCACTAGACCTTGATAACACCTCCCTGTCCTAGAACTCACTAAGAATTACTAGAATCCAAGCCACACCTTTCTTCTTTTTCTTAGTGTAACTCTTCCCAACTCCAGCATTGTACAGGAGGGCAGCCTCAGCAGCACCCATAGTCTCAATTTACATTATTTGTAGTGTAGTTGTCTATTTCCCCTCCAAGCTCTGTTTCTGATTGTTCAGCAGTTCCACATCGTTCACCTTTTTTTATACGCTGCCAGTCATCGACTTTGGTTTATTTTATTCCGATGTTCTCAAAAAAAAAGATTCGAAGTTTGCCGACACTGGCAATTGTGTTCACAGCACCGAGGCTTGATCTGTTGCCTGAAACAATGGCTGAGGAGGATAAGCTCGAGGCCAATGCTCAGCCGGTGGAGCTCTTTGGATCGGTCGACCAGGGTTCTCCGGTGGAGCCAATTGCGCATATCTTTGGCTTCCTCACCGGCGCCATTGCGTCCCGGCCTCATCTTGCTGTAAGGATTCGACCATACATATCTTGACTGTTGCTCTGAGTCAATGCCGGTTGACTTGTTTTCTTTTCTATCATTTTCCTGATGTGATTGATTGCTGTTCATGTCGGGTTCAGGTGATGCTCAAAAATGGTGCGTTGCCGGTCTCCGAATCCTCTGCTGCATGAAGGGCTTGCGACTGTCCGAAACGATGGCCATCTGCTTTACAAAGCTCAAAAAAGTAATCGGCCATCAATTCGAGGCTGTCGAAAATGTGGACGAAGTGTCTGTTGTTGAATCTGAAGACCATGCGATGGGACGGACCATTGAGATCGACGAGCAAATCAGTCCTCAATCCAGGAGCTTTACACCCATACAGATGGACGGAAAGTTCAAGGGGGTTTATCTAGCGGCTCAGCCGCCGGTGTGGTTATTATCGACTGACCATGGACCGTGTCGGATCTATGACTCTCCGGATGAGAAGACTATCCATGGTATCGCCCAGCTCCCTGACGGCTTTCTGATGTCTTTGAGCGAGGTCTCCATCCAAGATGAGGAGCCGTCTCAGGCCTGCGACCCCGCATCGCTCTGGGAGACCTACATATCAGAATACGTCTGCTTGGACCGCGAAATCCCGTCCACACTCGTCAAAAACGGCCGGCCATTCAATAAGGTCTTCTACGACTCCGCATCTGAGACGGTCATTGGGGCCTCCTATCTCAAAACCGCTTTCGCTAACTTTGACGAGGAGGGCAATCTTATGTGGCAGCCTGATGGTTGGTTGTTGCTTGTTTTTGTGGGGATCTTGCAGTCAAGTAACGTGACCTGAATATTCGTTCGTGCTGGTTGACAACTCGTTGATCCGCGCAACCATGTTCAGGAGTTGGTTGGAGTTGATCTTCTCTAGCGCTATCGGCCTGGAAATTCTTTGACCGTCCCACCCTCCCTAGCAAAGAGGCCAAAGCCAGAGGCAGGCTCACCCACTTTAGGGGTGAGGGCCTGACACCTTCCAGGGCACACTCCGGTGTGCGCTTCTGTTTTGGGGGGCGCAGTGACTCGCTTGTCCTCCCGCCGCTGTGGAACTGCTCAGCAAGTGAGTAAAGAGCTTAGAGGGGATAAAATAGCTAATAAGACTATGAAATAGTAGAATTAGTATTGGTGTGTGGGTGAGACTGCCCTCTTGTCTAGCTTGCGGGAAAGTTACACTAAGAAAAATAAGGGTGTGGCTTATTTCTAAATTTATCTTAGTGTTGATACTACTGTTGTTGTTGCTTAAGAATTCCTGTTGAGGAGGTAAGGAGTTTTATGGGGTTTTCTGAGTGTTAACCCCCTTTTATGGTGGTTTCTCTGTTAAATCTGTAATAAATTCTGTCCCTAGTCAACGTCTATCTTATAAGTCTCTCTG